ACTACTATAATGCTACTACTATTACTACTGCAACTACAGCTACTACTAGTCCTACTGCAGCTTCAACTAATGCTGCTAATACTACAACTTCTGCTACTACTACTTCTATTACTGCAATTAATACTACAACTCATGGTACTACTACTACTATTCAAGCTAAAAATGCTACTACTACTCATGCTACTACTACTAGTATAAATAAACCTGTGATGTGATTTGATAAATTCCAGAATGATTTAAAGGTGCATTACGTCTCAATGGAAATGTTTTGTCTTGCCTGGAATGTTTATATTTATTTATAACTTAAAAATACATTGAAAAACAAGTATTCTGGCTCGCCACTCTACAGATCTGACCATTAACTTATCTTGTTGTCATGGATATAGATAAGTTTAATGCCATACTCTGAAACATTCCAGACAGAGCAATAACATGACCATGGAGACTTTGCCTTTACAGACAGTTCTAACCCGTTGTGTTGTGTCACAGATGTGGATGATCGTCCAGGTTGTGGGGCAGCCTCCCAAACACGTCCTGGACTCAGGACAAAGGACAGAGAATTACTTCTGTCGCTGGATGGAGCTTCTGAGTCACCCATGGTACGATTCACTTTCAAAACAACACACTTTTTACCGTTTACCAAAAAGGGATTCAGAATTTGAGACACAAAAATAATCAATAACAATGTTCAGTTTTGGAATGACAAGATTACAGCCATTTACTTCAACTCCCACAACCAGTTTGAAACAGAGCTGCAAAACTGCATCAAACCTGGAGGACTAAAGGGGAGAGTGAGGGAACAGGGAGAGGTCTGGAGGACTAAAGGGGAGAGTGAGGGAAGAGGAGGAGGTCTGGAGGACTAAAGGGGAGAGTGAGGGAAGAGGGAGAGGTCTGGAGGACTAAAGGGGAGAGTGAGGGAACAGGGAGAGGTCTGGAGGACTAAAGGGGAGAGTGAGGGAAGAGGGAGAGGTCTGGAGGACTAAAGGGGAGAGTGAGGATAGAGGAGGAGGTCTGGAGGACTAAAGGGGAGAGTGAGGGAAGAGGAGGAGGTCTGGAGGACTAAAGGGGAGAGTGAGGGGGGAGGAGGAGGTCTGGAGGACTAAAGGGAAGAGTGAGGGAGGCAGAAGAGGTCTGGAGGACTAAAGGGGACAGTGACGGGGGAGGAGGAGGTCTGGAGGACTAAAGGGGAGAGTGAGGGGGGAGGAGGAGGTCTGGAGGACTAAAGGGGAGAGTGAGGGGGAGGAGGAGGTCTGGAGGACTAAAGGGGACAGTGAGGGGGAGGAGGTCTGGAGGACTAAAGGGGAGAGTGAGGGGGAGGAGGAGGTCTGGAGGACTAAAGGGGACAGTGAGGGGAGGAGGAGGTCTGGAGGACTAAAGGGGAGAGTGAGGGGGGAGGAGGAGGTCTGGAGGACTAAAGGGGAGAGTGAGGGGGGAGGAGGAGGTCTGGAGGACTAAAGGGGAGAGTGAGGGGGGCAGGGTCTGGAGGTATAAGGAACAGTGTGATTGGTCAAACAGGTATCCACACTTCAAACTCCGCCCTGCAGCCCGCTGTTTGTAATCGAGACAGTCCTGTGTGATGTCACCAACTACAGGAAAATGTATTATGAAATGTTTTATGTACAGTTCAAAGCATGTGAACTCTAACGTCTGTTCTTTTGTGGTTTTAGGTGAAGAAGAAGGGGCGGATGAAATGCACTGTCCCATCACTGGGTTCTATTTACTGGGTAAGAGAAAATCTTTAAATTTCATACTAGACATTTCACTGAGTTTGCAAATAGTTTTTAAAGATGCACTGTGTACGTTTTTAAAGAGCGTTCACCACTTTCTTTGTCCATGGAAATGCCCATCCCTAGAAATAACTGTTATAAAGCACTTATAAATCTTAAATGTTTGAATTATGACAGCCTCCACAAAATATGACAATAAATGTGGTACTGTGAGATGCGTATGGTGAAAATGTCATATTGTGAGATTTGGATATCGTTACATTCCTACTACACATGTTCTTGTCTCTGCAGAAGAATCCTTTCAGCCGGGTGAGGAAGAGCAGTGAAGTGGAGGACTTTGATCGAGCCGTCTTCATAGACCTGCTCAAGCGCATGCTGGACTTAGACCCTCGAACCAGGATCAGTCCAGATGCAGCCCTGGACCACCCCTTCCTCACCCTGACCCACCTGGGCCAAAAGTACAGTGAGTACAGGTAAGTGTCTCACCAATGACAGCCTTAACTTCTAGCTCTACTACAACTGCACAGTACTGTTACTTTTACACATTTACTGCTAAAACAACCCAACAAACTACGAGCTACTACAAGTCTTATTACTAATGTATATTTTAACTTTTTACATTTGTTCTTTAGTTTGGAGAGTAAAAGAATCCAGCTTCAGGCACTGGATCTTTGTCATGAGGAGGAGCAGTCCACCTCCTCCACCTCTTCCACCTCTTCCACCTCCCCCACCTCCTCCTCACCCCCTCAGATTCCCGAGGCTACACAGGGACAAACCTCTGGCCTGAAGAGGAAGAGAGAGGAGAAAGAATCCCCACAGAAACGGACCAAAAAAGATGCTTCCATTTCTGTTGACAGGTATGTACAGCTTGTTTCCTTGTGTCCTTAGGTATTTTAGATTGTGTGTAAAAAAAAAAATTGTGAAAACTGATTTGAGCGTCTGCTTCCACCAGAGCAACTTATAGACAAATGACATGCAAAAATGCTTGAACTGAAATGCACTGCTTTCGAGATGTTTTAAGTAAACCACTTTTGTTGTTCTTACAGTTCAGTGCAAAGATCTGGAGGTAACCACGAAAAGTCTCCAGACGTGATCCTCCTGGAGTCTGTCAGTGAGAACAGGAAGAAGGTGGAAAAAAAGGTGTCTGTCCAGAACTCTCCTAAAAAGACCCGAAAAAGGAAGTCAGAGGAACCCATCATCTTGGAGTCATTCAATCCAAAGATTAAGAGGGAGGACTCTGACTTCCTTCACTCCAACAACCGTGCGATCATCCCACCTCTGGTATCCATCTATGAGAACAACATGAAGAAAGACGATATACCAGTAACCTGGCCTCTCCTCGAAAAAACAGGAAGAGAAAGCCAGAAGAACCCATCGTTTTAGACTCATTCAGCCCCAATATTAAGAGGGCAGTTAAAGAGATTATTAATGTGGAGTCTTTTAGCCCAAAGAGAGAAGAACAGGAGGTGATCATCATAAAGTCTTCCAGCGCTACCAGCTCCAACCAGCACAATATTGGAGTTGTTCGTGAACAGTCTCTAGGTTCGGTGATCTTTGTGGAAGAGATCGCACGTACCTCTAACCTTAAAAAGAGGAAGAGGAAGTCAGGAGAACCAATCAACTTGGACTCAGTCAGCCCAAAGATGAAGAGGGACGTCTAGATCAGACCGAACAGGTTTGGAGGGCAGAGGGCAGAGAGTGCAGAGGGTGAGGGTGAGAGCAGAGGAGTGAAACATTTTCATCATGTCTCAAAACAAAAATATCTGAATCTTGTTTTTAAATTGCACCAAACAGACCTTTTCTGGAACTGCGGTAACAGTGTTGTTCCTCTTCCCCTCTGCCACTTTAAATGGGTGTGTTTTTTCTCTGGAAGGGGGCGGTGCTTATTGGTTAAAAACCCTCGCTCTCTCGCACACCCTGCCCGTCTCTCTGTCCAGACAAGATCCCTTGTCCACACCAGCCCGACCAAACGCCCAGACCTCTGCCCAAGTCCTTACAACCTTTTTAACCAACACCTTCACGACTGGACAAGTCGACTCCCCGTTTATACAGAAATGTCTTTTGGAGTATTGTAAATAACGCATTTCAAACTGAACTCTGCTGTCTGTATCATGTGTTTTTATATTTAAAGAGGATTGTTGTGTGGGAGTGTGGGTGACGTTGACTTGTGGGTGGAGCCTTGTACAGAATGTTACAGCTCATCATAAGGAGGGTTCAAAAAGACTCCAGGAGAGATCACTAAATTACATTCTTGGATGGCATCTAAACCTCTTCAGGCGTGTATTTTATGAGGGAACCAATAACATGATTGAAAGCTCTAAAAAAATAAATTGTGTATTATTCCCTCTCTTTAGGGTTCACATGTGATGGGAATGCAGAGAGGTTCTGTATGTGAAAAGGACGCTCAAACACAGCATTTAACTTATGTTCCAGTGGAAGAAAGGCAGGGTGACCAGACAGTCCCAAAATCTAAGCTATTGTCCCGAAATCCCAAATCTGGCCCTAAATGTCCTGAAAATTACACTCAAACAGAACACTGAAGTAAAAGTAAAAGTAGGTTATGCTATAAGGTTTACTAAAGTTGAAGTTAGTAAAGTTAATTCCCCACTGGCAGAAACTTTAACAATAAATAATGGCTTAATTAATTCAGTCCCAGTGAACTGTTGATTGTAATGGAGTATCAGATGAAATTCTCAGTGGAAAAGTGAAGAATTTTTGACTGAGAAGCTACTGCTAGAACCTTTCGATATCAGTTGAAAGACTGAGATTATTTGTTATGAGTTAGAAATTAAAATTGGACGTTATAATAAAGACTCAGGTTAGATCTGCGTCATGATGAGAAGTTCTATTGTGTTATTTCTTATTCACAGAACATGCAGTAAATGTGTTGTTGCCTGATAAAGCAGATTATTCTAAAATAAAATATAAAAGCAAGGATAAAAATTGAAAGTAAAAATTGTCTTACCGTGAGTACTTATTTGTTGTCTTTAGTTTAGTGTTTATATTTTGGGATATTATTATTATTTTTTTTTTTTTTTTTTACTTTTTTTTATTAAGACTCTACCTCTACACTCTAACAGGACCAAAAAAATCGTAGAAACAATGTCCACACGGATACGTTTAATTGTTGCACAGAAGGCGGGAACATATTTTGATTGACACATTTTAAACCAATAAACTTTTAGAATGCACCTCCGTTCAGTGACGCACTAACCAATCACCATCACCAGAGGGAGCCACGCGCCCGGGACGTGCTGAATGTAAACACAGCGTAGAAAGCATGACAGTGAGCTGCGGAGTTGAGACTTTAAAACAGGAAAATGCTACGTTTAGGTGTTTAAAAATGATTCCGGACGCTTCTTGACATTGGCATTAACGTACTTTAACGTTACTTTGAAGTAGTGTTTGAAGAACGACACTTTCATATGGGACTTGTGGTATAATAATGATTTTCGGAGATGCTGTGGTCAGTTTATCGCGGATTACGGAAAGCTGCTGTCAGTGCATTTAAATCGAGGTTTGCCACTACATGCTTTAATCAGTGGATCTTTAGGGTAACTGTTGTATTTGGAAAACAAAGTACAATGCATTTTAAAATAATCTTTAACATTTTCTCTTTCATTTATGTCTTTGCCCTTATGTGCATCATTTTCTTTGTCAAAACCTGCTCAGTTGTGAACAATCTATCAGTCCAATCCACTTTATTTCTGTAGCGCATCTTATACACACGAAAGTGCTGCACGGACAAATTAATACAATAAAATACAGTAAATCTTAAAAAAAAAACAACAACAACTAAATAAATAAAAAGTGTTAAAATGCATAAAGCAAAAAATTATTTTAAAAAATGAATAAAATTAATCAATAAAATTTAATAAAAGACACAGAAGACAACACAACTCACGTGGTTGACGAGACTTAAAACGCTCCACTGTAAGTGTGGAAGAGTTGGAGTTGGCTCTCGGACCTCAGACCTAATAAAATGTAACTGGATAGCTGAAGAAATTGGATAATGATCTCATTTGTGTCATGTATATAAAACAGTATTCCAATAATTGTTCATATGTAAATTTTCTTAATTTTATACATATTTGAATGGATGTGTGTTTTTTCTTCTTTCTTGCAGTAGAGGACCTCCACCGGTCCGACGCCTGTTGTGTACCTGTGACAATGGGAACACAAACAGACTGGCCGATGCAGACACCATTTTCGCCCTTTCGTCGGGTCACGGCAGGTGTGGCGTTGCCGTGGTGAGGGTCAGTGGTCCGGCCTCTCTCTCAGCTCTCAGGACCATGGCTGGACTTAAGCACAAACCTCCACTCCCACGGACTGCACTGTTACGCAGCATCACAGACCCTAGAACCAAAGAGGTGCTGGACCGCGGGCTGGTACTGTGGTTTCCAGGTAGTTATTTGTTGCAGAGAAGACAGAGAAGATGTCTATGTCTCACATTAATTAATGAAAGGTGTTTTATTGCTTAAAGGTTAAGTAATCATCATGTTTTGTTCTGTGCTTGTTTGTTTAGGCCCACACAGCTTCACTGGAGAGGACAGCGCAGAGTTCCACATCCACGGTGGTCCGGCTGTGGTCTCTGCAGTTCTACAAGCTTTAGGTAAAAAACTTAAGGGACACTGATGTGCAAAATCAGATCAATCAGACAATTAAGCTTTAAATACAAGAAGATGGAGCCTTCAGCACATCTAGTCAATGTCAGAAAATAATAATTAAATTATAATAACCAAATGAAACTATATACTTGGGCAACAAAATTAATCTTGAATCAGCTTAAAAGTGCAATTTCAATGGTCATAATTTGCTAATTTTAAATAATTTTTATTTCAGTAACTTTTCAACCATGCTCTGAATTGCATTGGGTTCTTGTATTAGTTTTTCCCCGGAAACGTTACCAATATGTATATTTACTGCAGTTTGAAATGTAATCACCAGAGGGCAGTGTAATATAAACATTCTTATTATGTTTTACCACTAAACCTTTAACCATTTAACGTTACATGCTGCTGAGTATACTGTAATGTCTATTGTAAAGTGTGTATATTGTTGTGATGTGTGTCTGTCTGTGTCTATGTCAAACAAGCTCTGTGTTTGTGAAAAAGAATCTCACCTTTGGAACAATAAAGTCAAAAGTCTGAAATTCAAAACAGAACTATATTAATCTACAATTGTAAGTTTAAGTAAGTATAGTAAGTTTATGTAATTTTGAAAGTCAGTTTTTTGGGCTAGGGTCCATCTGGCTCCTGCTGCTTCTCTTGTCACTTCATCCTAATGAGATGTGAAAAATGAGTTTGCACACAATGAAACTTTAACCTTTTTAACCCTTCACTGTAGAGCTTTCTGTCAGAGTGACCCTGGCCTGACTCACTGGCCTGTTGTTTGCTTCTCTGAGCTGTTTTAGTGTGTCTTTAGTCTGAGCTGTGATGTGTGCACGATGCAGGAAGCGTGGCTGGCATGCGGCCGGCTGAAGCTGGAGAGTTCACACGGAGAGCGTTCCAAGCGGGGAAGCTCGGGCTGACTGAGGTTGGTCAAGGCAACAAAAACACAACCACATAAACAAGGTCAGATGAGGGCCTAGAGCAGTCAAATGGTCAGAGTGTGATTCTATTGTTATAGTCTGTAGTGGGGAAGGTACCAGCCCAACTGCAAGGTTAATACAGGTTAACTGATCAAACAGGATTCTCTCTGGTAGTGTACTGATTTTTATCTCTATACCTTATGAGGACTGGAGACTTTAAATTGTTTTTGGCAAAGTCCACCATCATTGTTGGCTGGTAAAACATTCATAGAAATGCATAATTACTGTCCAAAACAATGTAAAAAGCATGGTCAGCGCTTAAATTTATAGTTATAAGTGGAGAAGGTACTAACAACAAGATTAAGACAGGTTAAATGAGTTGGGGATCCATCCATCCATCCATTTTCTTCCGCTTATCCGGGGGCCGCATCGCGGGGGCAGCAGTCTAAGCAGGGACTCCCAGACTTCCTTCACCCCAGACATGTCCTCCAGTTCCTCCGGGGGGACCCCAAGGCGTTCAGCCAAGAGACATAGTCCCTCCAGCGTGTCCTGGGTCTTCCCCAGGGCCTCCTCGCGGTGGGACATGCCCAGAACACTTCCCGAGGGAGGCGCCCTGGAGGCATCCGGAACAGATGCCCAAGCCACCTCAGCTGACTCCTCTCGACGTGGAGGAACAGAGGCTCTACTCCGAGCTCCTCCCATATGACTGAGCTCCTCACCCTATCTCTAAGGGAGCACCCAGCCACCCTGCAAAGGAAACTCATTTCGATTGCTTATATCCGCGATCTCATCCTTTCAGTCATTACCCAGAGCTCTTGACCATAGGGGATGAAGATTAGTTCTTCTAAGTCCGAGGCCATGGTTTTTGACCGGAAAAAGGTGGCTTGCCCTCTCCAAGTGGGTGAAGAGTCCCTGCCTCAAGTGGAGGCGTTCAAGTGTCTCGGGGTCTTGTTCACGAGTGAGGGGAGGACGGAACATGAGATTGACAGGCGGATCGGTGCAGTGTCTGCAGTGATGCAGTCGCTGTATCGGACCATTGTGGTGAAGAGGGAGCTGAGCCGAAATGCGAAGCTCTTGATTTACCAGTCAGTCTTTGTTCCTACTCTCACCTACGGTCATGGTCATGGTCATGAGGCTCCTACTTATTCCTCACTGGTGGTGCAGTGGTTTGAAGCACTGGACATGTGTCTCTATGCTTTTTGGGTTTGACCTATAAAATTAATGGTATTGGAGCAACGGACCAGGGTTGGCAGTCTCTTTTATAGTTTTTCATCCTCAGTATGTGGACAGGCCATTCTCATGTGAAAGCTCACAACCTCCAGAATTCATTCACTGAGCTGCAGAGACTGCGCTATCATTGATTCATGATTGGCTGTAGGCACTGGGGTTTAAGGAGTAAGGATCCAGATTAGAGAATATACATTTTTCCATGGCCGATGCCAGTACCAGTTTTTCACTTTTCAATTTTTCCTTGGCCAATGTGTGTTTTGGTAATTTTCCCCAAATAATCTAATTTGACTTTAATACAAATTCACCCATGACTTCGGTTTAGTACACACTGGATGAGGGAGCAGTGGTAGTCACATTTTTGCACTACCGTCTTTGGACTAGTTCAGATAGGCTTTATGCATATGTGCATGTTTAGGCAGCTGGTTGGGCCAAACAAAATATGAGCCTCTGCTGGAGATTTAAGGCCAATAGCCAGTATACTAAAAAGTGAAAATATCAGCCAGCCAACATTGAAAGTGGTAAACTAGAGAGAGACTCATGCAGCTCAATCTGCTTTCTGACTGGATAATCGTCTTGAGAACCAAAACAAGAATCAGTAACTTGGCCATTATATTTCTTTATTAAGAATCAGTCATCAGTAAAAGCTATAGCTGATACCAACATGTTTACCTCATATCTGGGGTTTGGTCTTAGTTATAACATTTTAATACAAATCTCAAATATCCCAGTTTAAATCTTTTAGCAAATGCCCTACACACAGTGGTATAAACTGAAGTCTAATGCGTTCCTGTCTGTGCAGGTGGAGGGTCTGGGGGATCTGATCCATGCAGAGACAGAGGCCCAGAGGAGGCAGGCGCTCAGGCAGATGTCTGGAGACCTAGAGCGCCTTTATCAGGACTGGAGCAGCAGACTCAAACGGGTGAGTTTTCATCGGATACACTGTGATCTGTATCACATTCACATTTTATTGAGATTTCTGTTATAACTTATATTTGTCATCATTTGTTATATTTGATCAGCTTGGGTGTTTTTACATCCACATCCTCTGTTAGTAAAAGCGTGTGGTTTGGAGCGGACTTCACACTTTGGAGGAAGAAATTTGACAATTTTTTTATGCTGAATGGCAGTGATTCAAGGTCTTTATTGTCTGTGTTAAGCATGTGTCAATACGAGGAATAACAAGGGAGTTCCGAATGGAAAAGTGGAAATCACACAGTCACACAACAAACCGATGACAATTGCTGAACATTCCACCATAGAGATACATGTAGAGCACCCCTAGCAGGATGCAAATTATCAATACCGGTAGGGAGTAGTGGGTCTAGGGCATTCTGTCATTGTGTTGAATTTTGACTTGTTTTTGTGTGTAAAATGGTATTAATTTGAAGTCTTGTTAATGTTCATGAAATTAATATTGAAAGAATTATTTAATATTTTTTATGAAATGCATAATGATGTAAATATTGTTATTGATTTATGCAAGGAAAAATATTGTAATAGGTTTTTCCACATCACCCTGCTGTGCTCTAAATCTCTGGCAAATTGGAAGTCCTCCTCTGTAGTTGAAACATTTATTGAGCAGAATTACCCGAACAGACCTCAAACGAACTTCCCCCGGTGGACATATTGTGAATGACATTCTGTGAAATCCCTGTGTTTTGGAAAGACACTGGTTGTGCTGTGCGGGGCTGTGCTTTTAGGTCAGGGCTCAGTACTTTCACAGCTAAAACAATGCATTTTCTCTGCTCCTCTGCCGACCCCACAGCTGTATGGACAGTTGGTATGTTATCTTTGGGGGATAGGTGGCTTCCTGTTATTATCTTGGTGGAGTATGTGACAGCTCAGCGCGTGTTAACATGAGGAATAACAAGGGTGTTCTGCATGGAAAAGTGGAAAAACATATAAAAAATCACACAACAAACAGACAAAGTTCACACAGAGAGACTGGGTTGGAAAAATGACAAGTGGTGACGACTGTGAAAACAGTCCTGAATCTCAATTACATGAAGATGAATAATATTTAAAGGGGCCATGTTCCACTATTTCCTGATCTATATTATGATATTGTTTCCTCATCACAAACAAACCTGGAGTTGTGTTTTGTTTCATTCACACATGTTTAACACACAAACTCTCTCCATATTTAGGCTGAGTCTTCACTCAAACTGAAAACTCTCTGTCCCACCTTGTGATGTCATGTGGTAATACAGGAAGTGGTCCACTATGTTTTTAAACTCTATACACCTTCACTAGAGTCATTTAGATCATTTTAGCCCAAGAATTCCTCACCTCTCCCAAACTAAAGGTAAAAAGAGCTGTAAACTTGTAAACTACAATTAGATGACATCACAAGGTGGAACAGAGCATTTTGAGCTTTGGAGATGTAGATGGACTGATATTAAAGGATTATTAAAACTTGTGTGAATGAAAGAAAACACAATTCCATGTCTGTTTTTGATGAGGTAACAACATTACAACATGGCTTATAGAGCTGGCAAGAATACATTTAGTGCAATATAGGACCTTTTAAAACAATAACACCTCCATGGAGACAAGCAGGTGGCCAGTGCACCTTTGATCCTCAAATCAGTCAGGTCTCACTCTTTAGAAGATTGAATTATGGTTCTTTTGTCCCATCGCCCACAACTACACACAGTGTGTTTAGCGCTGTGTTGTCCTCATCTCATCTGTTGACTGTTGCTTTTGGCTCCACTCACAGTTCAATGACCACATTTGAACGTTTCACCTGTCTGGGCCCAGGCCAAGCTCTGCTCTACTGTTACGGCCATTATATATGTAGAGGCATCGTTTTCCAGGCATAACCCCCAGAGAACTGCCTTCAACTGTTGTCCTAATGCTTTTCCCAGAACTGATCCAAAGTAAATTTGTTTTGGAGAAGCCTTTCTGGGAAACTGGTACTGCAGTATCCGAGTCCTCCATCTTTACTATGCAATATTCAGGTGAAAGATGTTCGTACAACAATGTAATCTTGAATACGTGGCTTCCACTTTTATAACGAGCCCATAATTAAAATATGGAAATCTTCCTGCTTTTGTGAAGCAACATCACTATTGTGTTAATGTCACTGTATGGAGATTTATCAGTGTTTGTAAATGCATTAGAAATACATTATAAATTACCCTTGTGTCATTCTGTCTGTTACAGTGTATTGGTTTAGTGATAATAGGAGTTTGTGTTCCCAAAATAGTGTTCTTTAGACAGGTTTCATAACAGTGTACCCTGTTATCAAATGAAATGTGACATTATTTCCAACATTAGAAAATACTGGCCATGGTCTACAGGGGTGTAAACTAAGCTTAAATAATGACATTTATTGAAATAGTAATCTATTTGCACCCATTACAAACTCAGAGGCACCCTCTGTCAGTTTGGTCTGGACCTCCTTTGTCTTTGGATCCCTAGGGGTTCTGGGACATCGAGGTCCAGGACTGTGGGACAGGACACACCGACCCACAGTACCAGAGCACACAGAGAGTTTATGTCCATATGATGAATAATAGAGAGTAACTCTTGTCTCACCCTGGACATGTAGTGTTTTTCCACTGCAGTCCTGTGCCATTGTTCTGTACAGATAATGTATTGCCAATAGGATAGTGGTATGTGCCTGAAGATGTACACCTGGGCTCCTTCCTGTCACATGTTGTTAGCATAAACAATAAGACTTAAAAATACCTTGACCTTTGACCTTTGTGTCTCTGTTCCTTTAGAGCCTGGCACACGTTGAGGCATTCATTGACTTCAGTGAAGATGAGCTGATTGAGGAGGGGGTCATGGACCAGGGTGAGTGATGAGAGAGGTGGGCAGTTGTGTGTATAATGCCTATGTCAGAATAAGGCAGTGCTCCCTGGAGTCCAGGGCCTGGTCTCCCTGAGGAGACGAGACTTTCCTGTTTGGCTCTTCAGTAACCATCGTGTGAGCTGTTCTCACTGTGGAACCAGCACCGTCCAAACTCTGAACAGTATTTCCTAAAGGAAGCAGGAGGCCAGGGGACTCCTTCAAAGCCTGCTGCCCTGCCACTCACAGCAGCTGAGGCAGAGGTGGTGTTAGTGGATTTCCCATGGTCCTTTGCATCTGAGTGTGTTGTTATTATGGGATGTCTCTAGAGACAGATGTAACATCTGTGGCATTGTCACAGATGTTACATCTGACACACTAGAGCTTAAGCCATTGTTTGTTGTAGTGTCTCAGTAGATGCTAATAGAAGCATCTGTATTCGGGGAGTGGTCATAAGTTAAGCCCCGATTACTGGGGCTGCAACCTCTAAGGTTTATTAAATGTTTTGATTTAATAGGAAATGTATATTGTGTGATTACAGTGCATGTTTATGATCTATTATAATCTTCAAATTCATTGTGGCTGGGCAAAGTCCGTAGTAAGCAGACATCATTGATCATGTGATTTTCTTACCTAGCACTGTTTTCAGTTGCTGAGTCACTTTTACAATTTCATGTATTATTTATTCACACCACTGTTGGTGGTAAAAAGTTACTTCTATTGCCACAGCTGCCCTGGGGCAGACAGACACAAGCTAGGCTCCCAATCTGCGCCATAGGCCTTTCTGACCTCCAACAATAAGCAGAGTGGGACAAGTGTCTGATGAGCGTTCTAACCACTGAGTAAAACTTTTCTAGACCTACAGGCCCAGGGACTTTTAGTGCAGGGGACAATTCTAAATTAGAGCATCATCATCCAAAGTGACTATGTAAAAGACCGCACCTGTATTACCACATAAGACACTGAAATGTTGATTTACCGTTCCCATTGTAACCTTGACATAAATACCCTTCTGTATCTGTGGTGTTGTGTGTTGTGAACAGGGCTTTCCCCTTCAGTGTAAAGTGTAAACAGATCAGACCCTGACCCATTTCTGTCTAGACGCCCGTCCAGACTCTGGTACCAGCCTCGTCACCAGCCTTGTGCTACAAAGGCTCTACATTATTCTTCAAGGCCAAGAAAATGAAGTCGTGCTCTAGCCTTCATCACATCCTCTTCCTCTGCGTTGTCTCCTCACAGTGGACCGGTCCATATCTGAGCTCCGATCTGAGGTAGAGCGCCACCTGCAGGACGAGCGCCGTGGGGAGAGGCTGAGGAGCGGCGTTCATGTGGTCATCGCTGGATCCACCAACGCGGGAAAGAGCAGCCTCCTCAACACACTCTGTAAGACACACAACACACACACACAGGCTGACGGTGACCAAGAATGTTTTTTATTGTCTTGATATTGTGAAATCCATCAGAAATATTCTAAAATGTGTTTAGAAATGTCTCGGTTGCGGTTCAAGTATTGCAGTTTGTTGTGTGGGAGTGTAGAAAAAGTAGTGGTTCCCTAAACATTCCCAGACAGCACTTTTTTGCATAAATGTTGATCAAAAGTTAGAGTTTGGTTGGTAACAAAATATCCTTGTGAGAATCACTGTTTAATGTTATTACACCAGGGTTTATGTTTACACGTAAATATGCAGACCACATGCATTTTAATTTGTCATAGTTTCTTCTTATCATATTTTACTGTCCATTATAGTATAGTCATTCATAGTTTTTTGTTGGCACCATATCACTAGAGCACATTTTGTTACAGTGCTGTACTTACAGTACAGTTTCTTAATATTACTCTTTGATATTCCTTATGTCTTAGTTCTGTTCTGTGTGTGGACAGGCCAGAGACCGGCTGCTATCGTGTCTCCGATCGCGGGCACCACCAGGGACGTGGTGGAGACAGCTCTGGACATTGGAGGGTTTCCTGTGGTTCTGAGTGACACAGCAGGACTCAGGGAGAGTGCCGACCTGGTGGAGAGAGAGGGGGTCCGCAGGGCGCGCCAGAGGTACAACAAAACACGTATGAATCTGTATAACCTGTATAATGAGAGATCAGTTTTCATCTTACACGTCCCTTTAATGAATTTGACCGTGTCTATATACATGATAATAACAAAGTTTCCTTCATGTCTCTGTTTTCTCATGTTTTGTCCCTAAACTGCTTTATCTAAAAGAACATAGACTAAATAGTAGTAGTATCCACTGGAAAGTAAGTTAGCCATTAACTCAAGTAAGAGTGAGCCGAGTAACCTTGAATTAAAGCCCCAGTTTGTAACATTTTAATACAAAATGTGTATGTGTTGTTCATTAATCCCGGGCTCAGACTGCACGTGGTGCAGCTGTGGTCTGGTGGCCGTGAGTGTTCTGTGTAGTTAAAAGTTGTGAGAGGAGCTCAGAACTCAGATGATGTAGTTCCGCTGGGGCCGGCGGAGTTGCTACGAAGTTCTGCCTCAAATCATTGGATTCTATTTCTGATAGACGCCGTGGCAACTTCAGCCTTTTCCCTTCATAAATTAATTCTTATCGCACAAACATGTGTTCTCTGTGTAGCCTTCAAAGGCGCTGACCACAACAGATCTCCGGTCCTCGTGTGAGTGTCACAGTAAGACCGGTCCCACACTGAGCTCCTGCTGGACCGGGGACTGGTCTGAGCCCAGGGTCAAAGCAACATATTATGCAGTGGCTGCCTCTTGGCCAGGACTCCCTTGAAGAAGAAGTTTTAATCTCAGTGGGATTTTTTCTGTGGTTATATAAAATAAAAAGCACTCAGTGAGGGAATTCTGGAGGTTCTGATCTTTCACATGAGACATGACCAGTCCATATACTGAGAATGAGAGAAACCTGCACCCTTGTGTCCCCCAGGTCTATATGCAGGTTAAAGCACTGCAACCCAGGTTCTGTTTAACTGTAGTTCCTTTGTTAAACCAGTAAGAGTGCAGGTCACTAACCTTCTCTTTAATAGCAGATCAAATGATAGTGTTTGTTTGGGTAGATATGCTGAGAGGACTGAGATAAATGCACTACTTCCTGCAGGGAGCATCCATGAAGTCAAACAAAGAATGTGATCACTGAAAATATGAGATATATTACACAGAGCAGGACGCCTTCTATCCTCCTCTGAGTTTATGAACTTAAATTTATTAAGTATATTAAGTGTTTTTTCCGCACTGTATTTATACATGTACTTAACCTGGCTTGAGTGCACGTATCATATTTATTAACATGTGGCAAGACTCTGAGGCAGCATGAAGGATCTGTTCACACACAAAGAAAGGAAGGAATAATTCACTGCTTTTCCTCATGTACATTATGATATATTTCTATGATGTCTGCGGGGCCGCCACTGTTAGTATTACAGCTATAAATACACGGGATAAATCGTCATAGGAGGTTGCATAATGAATTGCTGGATCAGGTTGAAATAAATGGATCTTGAGTAGGGGCCGTTTCCACTGTTTACACAGGTGAAGAATGGAGGCACTTGGAGTGTCCGTCATCAGGGCGTTATCAGAGAGAGACACAGGGCTGAGTGACCACTGCAGACCAAACACTTGTATACTTATTTATACTGAAATATACACACGTTTATGGGCCCGGTGACAGAGGAGAGAGGAAATGACTCAGTGATAAGGGCTCATGTTATTTATCACATCATAATTATTCATAGATGTGTGCTATAAGTACATGTAAATTGAACTGTAACATGAATGTAGTAGTGTTAGTAGTAAAATTTCAAACTCGATTTCAATACCAAGGAGTAGACTGGATACTCAGTACTGATTTCTCTTTCTTTAGACAATAGAATGTGATTTTCAATGTTAAACCGCAGTACTTTCTTTTATATTACCATGTGGCCTTATATTTGTGTAATCCTTCACTGGTCCAGGTAGGTTTCACAGTGGTCCATGGGCGTATACTAGTCTATATGCGCTTATACTTGTTCTGATACAGCTCAACATCATTCTAAATATATTCAGGAAAGCTTCATTTCTGTCCTGTCAATGTGACTTTTTAGTATCGATACCTGCTCAAATGAGTATATAGTTTTGATACTAGTTTTAGTATTCATTAGTATCTGATTTTTGATACAGCCCTTGTGTGTATGTCATGGCGACAAGGTGACTGAGTGGCTAGTCTTACAACAAGAAGGATCTGAGTTCGACTCCCATGCCTTCTGTGCAGAGTTTGTACGTTCTCCCTGTGTCCGGGTGGGTTTCCTCTGGGCAATCTGGTTTCCCGTCAACCCAAAACATGCACAATAGGTAAACTCCTCGAGCTAAGGTAGTCCTCCTGACCAAGCCTAGGTCAAGATCTGGAGGAGCAGGGCTGTGGCGCACATGGCGTACTGGGGGTGAGTCAAATGCAGAATGCGTTTTTCCCTACAGCCGTAATAAAGTGTACCTTAAAGAAATATAATAATGAGACTAAATGTATGGTATTCAAAATAGCGAAAAATTAGGACTCTTTTTGTATCATCAGAGCCATATCATTGCCATAAACAATCTTTTCAAATTATCAGAGTCTTCAAAATGGCGTCATAACAGGAAAAAATAATATGTCCAAAACACAGGTGTCACATTATTGAGCCGTACATGCGGTCCTTATATGGTGGTGTCCATTGTGTCCCTGTTGAATGAGTGGGTTGTGATGACGTGTGTGAAGTGGGGCAGAGGCAGATCCTCAGGGACTGAGCGGAGCAGGAGCCGGTCAGAGACTCATGACCTGGGTCACTACAGGAAGGACGTGGTTAGTACAAGCATCCTGCTGCTGTTACCTCACAGCCCCAAAAACACAGCCAATATTTCCATGGCTCACGTGTATCTACTGTATGAAATTGGACTGAGACCTGCAAAATAAACCAAATTTGAACCATGATTACAATTATTATTATGCTTGCCTTTCATTTTATCGTAGTTTGTAAATTATGACTCTTAGGTAAAGTAAAGTAAGTTATAAATATAAATTTGTTCTCTGTATTTAACCAGTCCTTCAATGCAGCTGGGGCAGGGGGCGCCACAGTGTCATGCCCAGTGCCACGCCCAGAGACCCATCTCCAGATTTTGAGCCAGTCTTGGTCAGGACTACTTTAGCTGGTGAAGTTTATCTATTGTGCATGTTTTGTGTTGATGGCGGAAACTGGAGTGTCTAGAGGAAACCCACCGAGACACAGAGAGAACATGCAAACTCCACACAGAAAAGCTCAGGTGACCAAAGAGTGGAATCTGGAACCTTTCTTGTGGCGTGAGTGCTGACCACTCAACCACCTTATTGATAGTTGTACTATATACGCTTAATTTTAATTAGGACCTTAAGATGTTTTTCCTATAATCAAACAAACCTAGTGGTTGTTACAGAAATTCCCAGGGCACACGCTGTCATCTCAGTCCCTACAACAGAATCATAGATAGAATGGACTGGACTTCAGTATTACATGTCTACAGGGTTCATGACTCTGGGTTTTGGGTCCTGTTCTGATTAATTAACTTTGTGTGTGTGTGTGTTTCTAACAGCGTCACTTCTCTTTAACTGTTGGCCTACTACCATTTATTATATAACAGTGGCAATTCTTCAAGATAGTTTCTGATTTACATTCTGTTTGCACATTCCATTTCGGACTCCACACTTCCTTACTTTACTTTTATAACATAAACTGTTGCAACAGATTTTGCAAATATGACGTCTGTGTAATCCTTTGTCAGGGTGGAGCAGGCGGATCTGACCCTGGTGGTGGTGGACTGTGCTCAGATCCCATTGAACCGGCCCACTATCTCCTTCCTCCAGGACCACCTTAAGGACCTGCTGCCCTCCCAGGACCCCACTCACACAGGTACAGAGACATGTGTCATACTGCAATTTATCAAAAGACTCGGCCAACAAACTAAACTAAACTAAACAAACAAGGCATTGTGATAGTGATATGTTCTCACCTGCCCACAAGTGAACTGGGCCTGTTAAAGTGCCAGTGACAGGTTAGTCTGTTCATATTACTAAAATGCACTTAAGATCATTATATTTCATTTATTTATAATTTATTTTATTATATTTAAGAGTTAGCAAAAATTTAAATTTTTATGCAAATGTTTAGGTTTCAAATTTTACTTTGTAGTTGGAAATTTTACATGACTATTACTATTATTACATGATTATATTATGACTTTAATTTTAGATGGGCGGTCTGAAACCTTCTTTTCAGTGATATGTATAGCAAAATTGAGCTTTAAGCCATTTTATAATGTTACTTCATCAAAAACGAACCTGAAGCTGTGTTTTGTTTCTTTCACACATGTTTGAGTAATTCTTCATTGTTGGTCTGTCTACTCTCTGAAGCGCAAAATACTCTCTTCCACCTTGTGATGTCATGTAGTGGTAGTTTTCAAGTTAAAATCTTCCTTTTACCTTTTAACTAATGATTCTAGTGAAAGTGTATGGAGTTTGTAAACACAGTGGAGCACTTCCTGTATTCCCACATGATATCCCAAGGTGAAACAGAGTGTTTTCTGTTTGAGAGAAGAACTCAGCCTAAATATGCAGTGGTTGTGTGTTAAACATGTGTGAATGAAACAAAACACAACTACAGATATGTTTTCAACAAGGAAACAACATTATAACATAATTTAATATGGGCTCTTTCAATCCAGTTAAGAGAAATGCACAGACATCTCTTCCATCCTCTAATGCACAAAGCTCTTCTCTCTACTTGTTTTTCAAAAGCAAAACAGTCCATATTTCTTATTAACCCAGCCTGACACAGTCTGAGCAGTCCTTCTGTTACACTGCACTGAGACTTTGACTGAGACATAAAGGCCAGTGAGACGCGCAGTGGAAATGTAGCTGCAAAAAAACTTGAATTTCCCTCTGGATCAATAAAGTTTCTCTCTTTCTCTCTCTCCTATGAAGTGATTAGTTTATTGTTGTTCATTTGTGTGTGTGCCCAGAGCGGTGCATCGTGGTGCTGAATAAACTGGACCTCCTGACAGAGCAGAGGAGAGAGAGGCTTCACTCTGACCTGGGCTCATGGACGGCCCCTCCCTCAGTCTGCTGTATCTCATGTCACACCCAAGAAGGACTGCAGAACTTCCTCTCAGAGCTACACCTCAGGGTCCAGCAGCTGTGAGTGTGTGCCAAGTTTTCCATCAGAATTATTAATCATTATTCAGTCTATTCGTTTATCCATTTATGTCTATTTGTCACTCATCAGCTCTACAGTCTTTTTAATGGACAGGTCTAGAGCCAAAGATGTGGCAGTGAAAGCATGTGATTTGGAGAAGACTTCAGATTTTGGAGGAGTACATTTTGTGTGTTAAATGGAGCTGACTAGAATATAAAGATCATTCTCAGACAAATGCCTCTGTATTTGATTTAGAACACCATGACTGTAATAGTGAAGCTATTAAATCAGGGGCTCTTACTCAGTTAATCCTCATGCTAATCTAAGTACAATTACAAATATGTAAAAACATATCTTATGAGTCAGGAAAAAGTTCTGGGTCTTTTGTATTTTCTTTGTGTTATTGATTTGTTGTCTTATTTTATCAGTAAAGGCTCTGATCTTCCCATGTTGCATTGCTCTCAGGTGTGGTGACCCCCTCTCTGGTGGCCCCTCCCTCACCCAGGCCCGGCACAGATCTCACCTGCAGCAGTGTGTCTCTGCTCTGGGGCAGTTTCAGAGTTTCAGAGACTCAGACCTGGCTCTGGCCTCTGAGGGCGTCCGCCTCGCTCTCACCTGCATTGGGCGCATCACCGGGCGGGTCGGGCCTGAAGAAATCCTCGACATTATCTTCAAAGATTTTTGCATTGGAAAATGAACAGAATCAGAGCCCATAATCTGATTATTCCTATTTCTGGAGTTCAGATTACTGAAATGACATCTCAACAGTTACATCTGTGAATAATCTGCTTTACATTTTAAGTAATACTGAAGGAGGCCCTCCTCTAGGCTAAGTAAGTGCCTGTTTTGTGGAGATGCAAGTCTACTCACATTAAGGACACTGTGTTTTTCTTGGTTTTTAGTGCTATAAACACAACTTCAACTTTTTTGGCAAAAAGCATAGTATGGCTTTAAAGATTGACACTGTGCTTTGTTCTACCAAATACTTCACTAAAAATTCATTGACTAACTGATACGTGTCAGTAGTACATTTTGATGATCATATTTCTCATGTAATTGTCTCAAATGTTGCCCCAGGAGCACCAGGTGCATTCTGCCATTTCTTCACATATGAGACAAAACAGAAACTCTTCCTGCTCGGAGTCTTCACATTGTTTCACTCCCTGGTCACAGACATGTTTGTTTTGAGTTGTTTAACCAAAATAGCAGCTCTGGACTGACAGGTGACTCACACACAAGCTGCTTGAATACAGTGTAAAAATAACTCATGAAAAGTCGTTGGTTCTCAGATGAGACTCTTGGGTCAGATCAGAACTGCTGAATTTAACAGTGGAAGGTCAAGTAATTCTCCTCTCACATTGTTTAGAAAATGCAGTGTTTCTGCCAGCACTGCCTGTCCTCAAACATTGGAGCTTTTATTAATACTCCTGAAATCATTATATAAATGACTTTTTAATGTGCTCTTTGTTTATAATGTGATTATACACATTACATAATTCATTTCAGAAACAATGACTTCATAATAATGGGTTTGTGTTTTAATCAAAGGCATATTAACTTCTCATAGGTGAGACACACTTTCTAATGTTGTGCTAATTATTTGAATGATTAGACAGTTTACACAGGTCATGGACTTGATTCACAAGTAAATTCCACAGTGATAGATATTTTTATATCTTATCACAAGGGACAAATGGATTACAGCACTACGCTACTTTAGAATTCAGATCTGTGGAGAGTCGTCCCTATTCTCAGAAGGAACTATTGTATTTTTGAGCAATAGTACCACCAGTCATGAATAAACACTAGATGGATATGTCTTCAAGATAGTTTCTGATTTACATTCTGTTTGCATGTTCAGTGTCAGACTCCACACTTCCTTACCTTACTTTCATAAATGTTTGTAACAGATTTTGAAATATGGCATCTGTGTAATCCTTTGCCAGGGTGGAACTGGAGGATATGACCCTGGTGGTGGTGGACTGTGCTTAGATCCCACTGGACCGGCTCACTGTCTCCTTCCTCCAGGACCACACGCACACATGTACTGAGACACGCATCATACAACAGACGTTTATCATGAAACTCCAGCAACAAGAAATAAACAAGGAAATCTGAGAGCGAAATGTTCTCATTTGCCCTCACGCGAACTGGGCCTGTTAAAGTGCCTATGACAGGTTAGTCTACTCATTTTACTAAAACACACTTAACATCATTATATTTAAGATTTAGCAAAACTATTTAATTAAAATTCCCCAGTTATGCAAATTTCTAGGTTTCAAATTGTACTTTCTGGTTGGAAATTATGGCATAACACAAGCAAATTTTAGGTGGAGGGTCCGAAACCTTCTTTTCTAACCTGACTGACACTAGTGATATGTGTAGCACTATGAACTTTTGAACTCAAAATGCACTGTTCCACCTTGTGATGTCACGTAGTGGTAGTTTTCAAGTTAACATCTACCTTTTACCTAATGATACTTGTGAAGGTGTATGGAGTTTAAAAACACAGTGGAGCACTTCCTGTATTACCACATGACATCACAAGGTGGAACAGAGTGTTTTCTACCTGGGAGAAGAACTCAGCCTATATATGCAGGGCCTGTGTGTTAAATGTGTCAGTGAAACAAAACACAACTCCAGGTCTGTTTTCAACGAGGAAACAACATTATAACATAATGTAAAATGGACTCTTTAAATCCAGTTGAGAGAAAAGCACAGACATCTCTCTCCTGTCCTCTAATGTACAAAGCGTTTCCCCCTAAACATTTTTCAAAAGCAAAATAGTCCGTATTTCTGATGAACCCAACCTGACAGTCTGAGCAGTCCTTCTGTTACACTGCACTGAGGTCTTTGGCTGAGGCTTAAAGGCCACTGAGACACTGACACTGTCTCTAGGAGTTTTTGATGATCATATTTCTCATGTAATTGTCTCAAATGTTGCCCCAGGAGCACCAGGTGCATTCTGCCAATTCTTCACATATGAGACAAAACAGAAACTCTTCCTGCTCGGAGTCTTCACATTGTTTCACTCCCTGGTCACAGACATGTTTGTTTTGAGTCGTTTAACCAAAATAGCAGCTCTGGACTGACAGGTGACTCACACACAAGCTGCTTGAATACAGTGTAAAAATAACTCATGAAAAGTCGTTGGTTCTCAGATGAGACTCTTGGGTCAGATCAGAACTGCTGAATTTAACAGTGGAAGGTCAAGTAATTCTCCTCTCACATTGTTTAGAAAATGCAGTGTTTCTGCCAGCACTGCCTGTCCTCAAACATTGGAGCTTTTATTAATACTCCTGAAATCATTATATAAATGACTTTTTAATGTGCTCTTTGTTTATAATGTGATTATACACATTACATAATTCATTTCAGAAACAATTACTTCATAATAATGGGTTTGTGTTTTAATCAAAGGCATATTAACTTCTCATAGGTGAGACACACTTTCTAATGTTGTGCTAATTATTTGAATGATTAGACAGTTTACACAGGTCATGGACTTGATTCACAAGTAAATTCCACAGTGTAGATTAAAAATATTTATCACAAGGGACAAATGGATTACAGCACTACGCTACTTTAGAATTCAGATCTGTGGAGAGTCGTCCCTATTCTCAGAAGGAACTATTGTATTTTTGAGCAATAGAACCACCAGTCACGAATAAACACTAGATGGATATGTTTAAAGTCATACCAGGGAACATTTCAGGCAAAACAATGATATCTCCATGGAAACAAGTAGGCATAGGACCCTCCACTTGAAAAGTTGCACAGTGCACCTTTAATAATTGCACTTTACAGGCTTGTTGATGTATCTCAATGTGCTACATTATCGTCATTATTCACTTTTACTCAGTGGTTGCAGTGTACTACCACAGCCGCTGCGGGGTAGAACCTCAACCTCTCTGACAACCACATTCACATTCATACTAGGCAATGTGGATGTCTTGCAAAAGGGCACAACAACAACTGATCTTTGAACCACATTATGGACTGGGACTGAGCAAACATCACTGGGACAACAAACATCGTCGCTGGATTAAAGAAGTGATCCAAATACGGAAACGTGAACACAGGACGATAAACCGGGATGAGGGGGCTTTTTAACTCTCACACACCTGGGATACTGTCCTGAGGAAGTCGGACTGCGGATGGCGCTGTCGTCCTGCCTCCACTGGTAAGAAGGCAGCGCCAAAACACATCATCACTCTGAGGAAGAGCACTAGTGAGCAGTCCAAAGTGTCAGGTATGAAAACAAACTCTTGGTCTGAAGTCTTTTTAAGTGAATACATAGTGTCTATATTTCACTTTTTGGGCGTTTTTTTGTCGGTGTTCTTGTGTCCACACTAGTCAGCCCTGTGTCAGTCCTTCTCCCTATGTTCTCAGTGTTCATTATAAGTCTGTCTCTGCCCGTGCTCTGTGGGAAACCAGTGTTTTTGAGGCAGAGCTGTCTTCTGTGCCTTTGTTCGTCTGTCAATCTGGCCTTGATCAAATATTTATGTTTCCTGGTTGAACTGCTCACCTCTCCCCCTGCTCGCTGTCCTGTGTGGCGGCATGAGGGGCTGGGTCTGCGGGGTCCTGGGAGGGTCCGAGCGGGTTTTGGTGGGGTCCGTGGGGGTACGGGGCTGGTGTTCTCTGTGTTTTTTGGGAGCGTGTGTGTCTGGGTTTTCCTCTTTCCGGCCTGTCACTGCTCTGGGGCTCTTTCATGTCCTGGTGATGGATGACGGAGCGGGGGGGAGGTGGTCAGAGCTAAAAGTGGGGATTTCTGCAGTAGTGAATTATGAAGCCCCTCTTCCTTCTGTACACGCTGACAGGGGCATTGTGTGGAGCTACTGTGAAAAGCTGCTTACACGTGTTGTTTTAAGAGTCAATATCAGATCAAATATAAGACACTAAAACTTGGAGATTCCACTCAGTTACAATAGGATTTCCATGCATTTCAAAACTGTTCATAATTTTCACTCAGAATTATTTAAAGCTCCAATGTGTAACTTTTTAACCAAACAATATGTGTTGGTTTTTTAGATGTTTTTATTGCATTGAAAAAGTAGAAAATCAGCTCTTTGTGGGCTTGCATCTCCACAAACCTGACTTTTATTTAACCAGGAAGAGGGCCTTCTCCTCCTTGTTTCCATGGAAATATTACTTTGGCTATAATCTTCCACAGTATGGCATAAAACATATCTATCTCTGTGGAGAATGTAGCAAAGTATGATTTTAACTTGTTGAGAGTTGCACAGAATCAGCTAACCATAAAGGAGGGTTCGAGTAGGGCCAGGAGAGATCACTAGATTACTCAAACATGCATGGATGACACTTAAAACCACTGAGGGCATGTTTTTGATGAAAGAACAGCATTATAACATGGTAGAAAGCCCCAAAACGTTTTAAATAATTGCAGTCTTTGTGATTTGCCCGCTGTGACCCTTCACATTTGTATTTCAGCCCAACTGTTTATGCATCGAACTTAGACCCACTTAAGGACCACTTTAATGTCCTCACAGCATACACCCTGTTCCCATGTTCAGCGCTGCTCCACAGACAGCCTGATGTTCCAAATACATGAGTTCTTCTCTTTCTCTGTTGCTGTCAGCTGTCGGTTTCCTGTGTTAGATTGATGACTGTTATGAGCAGATGAGGCAGATTCACACACGCCCTGTTCTCGTCTGGACACAAAAACACTTGGACCATGTTAAACAGAGGATTTCCTCAGGACAGTGCTCTCACCTGGGCCTCTCTATCTGTGAGAATCTTGTTTCTTATGCAACAGATCTGTATGATAGGACTACTGCATGACTGTGGAGAAACGTCTCGTTACAATTTGCAACAGCAGCACAATTGGATTTGAGAATTATGGTTTAAAAATAGGATTCGGTTCAAAGTTCACTTTTTAAATGTGTCCATGATTGATAAAAGGTCTGAAATATGAAATGACAAACAAGAATCAGAACATGTTTGTACTGATCTAAACTGCAGGGTTAGCAGTTTTCTGCAGAATAAAACAGGGGATTTTGTTTTGTTTGTGGAGGAAATTCTAACTGTGTCCATTCAAATTGTGCTTTTGTTTCAGTTTGATAAATGTTGTGACTCAGAGGCTCAGGAGGGTGTGTGCCCCACACAGACACACGTTTAACATGGAACCTTCCTGATACTGAGTCATGTGGAAATGCGTCTCATGATACAAACTTTATTTTAGTATTAAAAGGCTTGATACTCCATTGTGATACTACAGAAAAAATCTGGTCATTATCTGATTTCTGGAGTTATCGGATTATTGAAATGTATTGTACTCTGATGTGAGGACTTGTGCAGGTTTTGGAAAATTATGCAAAAAGGGCAAACTCGTGTTAAAGACAAAATGAAAGAGAAAATGTTAAAGTTTGAAATAGTTATTTTGAAATCAGTTGTACTTTATCCTTCAAATACAACAAGTTGAAAGGAAAATAGAGTAATGTCGTCATCTGGATATGTGCAAGTGATAAGTGCATAAACTGGCTCCCAATGCAAAATGCTTTTTGTCAGGGTTTGTTTCGTTTGAAATAAAAAATGAATTAATATATTCCTCCTGAATATACTTCAGATCTCTAGGGTAAGGTTAGGTGCGCTTTATTGTCCCTGTGGGAAAATCTGCATTTGAGACATCCTTCAACCTGTCAGGAGCAGTCCAGTGCTCGGGGACCCATCTCCAAATCTTGAACTGGTCTTGGTGAGAACTACCTTAGCTGGAATACTCTACCTGTGGTGCGTGTTTTGGGTCCATTATGTTAATTCAGTGCATTTTTCTTAAGTTCTAATTGCTTTAAAATAAGAACACAAACTACAGATAAATGATCAAACACAGATATAATGTTCAAACTGACCTGGCAGTAAATTTTCCAGCTTTTTAAGAGTGTCTTGTGTCCTCTGTATGTTTTGTTCATGTGAGAGGAAGAGGAAATACTAAAACGTGAGAACTCTTGAAGTTTCTGCTACTGTAAAGCTTTAAACGCATAGTAAAATATTATTGCTCTCGTGGTGCGTTTAATGTCTATTTGTGGATCGGCCTTTTTCAGCATCAAACCGAAAACAATGCAGCTATTTAAAGGGTTTATACGAGATGATAAAGTGGTTTGGTATGTGGGGTCGCCCTGTGCAGACAAACCCAACATAAATAATACTACACAGTGCCTATGCTGGCCCAGGAATATTGCCGTGACATCATGCTGGGGTGTTCTACATGGATCTCTATGGTGGAATATTTAGCAGTTACCATGGAGACACAATGCGCACATTAGCAGACAAAGCCAAATAAGTTTTAAGGTCATATGAAAGCTCAAAATACAAAATGGATTTAAACAGAACCTTTTCAGGAGCCTATGATCAATACGAGCGTTCATTGTTCTGTTTAGGAGTTAGATTTTCAACAAAAGTAAACCATGTATTCTTAAGTTTAATGCTGCAATGTGGAAGATTTGGCAAAACAATAACTTCTCCATGGAGACAAACAGGTTGCAGAGTGGATTTTGGTGAACTTTAAGCCATGTCAGAATGCTGTTGCCTCCTCAAAAACTTACCTGAAGTTGTGTTATTTTAGTCACACGTTTGAGTAATCCTAAAGTATTAGTCTGTCTACATCTCCAAAGCTCAAAATACTCTGTTCTACCTTGTGATGTCATTATGTGGTAGTTTTCAAGTTAACAGCTACCTTTTACATTTTGTTTACTAGATATGGCAATTCCAGGGCTGAAATGATCTATTTGTAGCGAAGGTGTATAGAGATTAAAAACCCAGTGGAGCACTTCTTGTATTACGTCATGACATCATAAGGTGGAGCGTTTTTTATTTCAGAGAAAAGCTATGAATGAAACAAAACACAACTCCAGGTCTGTTTGTGATGAGGAAACAACATCAGATAAATAATGTAGGCCCTTTAAAGGTCGCCCTGTGTAGACAAATCAAACATACACATATTTAAGTGCACTCTTTTATTTCATTAAAATAAAACTTTTACAGTATTTTTTCTAAGTCTTGAATAAAACACAAAAGTATTTACAACAGTGTCATGACATTCGTACGTTTACCTGAGTGAGTCACAGTGTTTTAAACAGCGCTTTAAGCATAACTATAGACAGATATGATAATACTGCATATTTACATTATTTACACAGAAGCAGAAGCATTACTTAAAATATATGTATATACATTCACCACTGGGTTATGCACATCTGTATCTGTAAAGAAGACATACTATGAAAATCTGCTTTTATGAGCCGTTATAATGGTTTTACTTGGCAAATCCAGAATAATCTTTCTGTATTTTTCATACAGATCAATATCAGTCTGGTCCCCACAACCTCTGTCGCATCTCAAGCCCGGCCAAATGTGATCGTCCATTTAGATTTGTTTCATTCTGTGACGCATGTGAAATGAAGGAGCTCATTGCTAACTTCATTTACACACAAAATCAAATTTAGAGTTTAGAGTTTAGTGCTTCACTGATTGATTCTACAGAAATCCGCCATGTTTCAGTTCCCTTTTATATGTTTTTCTTTTCTTTTTTCCCAATAAGGATGGATCCATGCATGTCCTTGATTGGTTACTCCACCTGTCAATCACGCCCATTTGAAAACAGGAAAATTCACCTGTGACCAGACTCACATCTGCGTAAAGTATTGAAGAAGTGTGTATTCAGGTTCCATGAGCGGTTAGAACATTGCTTTTTGCACCCATCACCTATCTGTCCCTGCCAACAACTCAGTTATTCTAAGTATTTTGGGTAAAAAAATTTGCATAGAAAATCAGTTCTACAGTTTTGAACAGGAAGTCAATGGTCCCCATTAAATTCCTTAGATGTTTTAGATCAATATTGCTGTTTACAATGAACAAATGTAGAATAAGGAGAAACAGAAAAAAAAAACATAATATGTCTTCTTTAAAGCAACACTCAGTCTCTTAAATGTAACTCATCAGTTTCACAGGTTTGTAGTTCTAAGTTCTAAGCGGCAAAGTCTTTTTAATATGATAGAAGCGGATGGTGCACTGCTTCATCTCAAACCAACCTGAAAAACACAACAAGGATTTCACATTTAATCCAATGGGAAAAAGACACATGAAAAGTGCACAAGTATCTGTGTGAGGAACTAACCGCAGGAGGTTTCACTGGTGCTCCCATGGGAGGCCAGTTAACTGTGGTCGGTTTGTTCAGAGTTGGCCCCATCCCTCCTACTTTAGGCCCAGGCTGTAACACAGAGTCCAGTGTAAACAGTTAAACAGTGAGATTAGGTACAGCCTGTTCTGTTCAGATCCATAGCTCTGAGTCAGACCTGCTCCTGAGATGAACCTCTGACCCTCCTCTTGTTATCTCACCCTCACCATCCTTCCTGCCACTGCTGCCGTTCTGCTGCGTCTGACTGGGCACCTGACTCCACACTCTTGTGAACATAACGCATTGGGCTATTGGGCTATTGGGCTAAGCAGTTAACTGGAGTTAACATGATTATCTGAGATTCAGGAGCAGGACCACAGCTCACCTCAAACACTCCTCCAATTACCCACAAGAGTTTTCCCTTCATGTTATTTCATGTTGTTTCTTGTACACAAATGACAAATTACATTGACATTTGACCACAAAATTATTCATATTTCTGTGTCGAGATTGTCACGTTTAATTTGACAACAAATCATTAATAATTCTATATCCTGACATTGACATTTTATAATAAAAAAGTAAACAATGTAGTAATATAAAGCTGTCATGACGTTATTATAAATGATAAGTATGTGTTTACCTTACAGTTTGCCAGATCTGTCTTCAACCTGTTCAGCTCGGACTCGTTCAGGGCCAGCTTGTTGTCCTGCAACTCCTTCTGGCCTCTCAGTCGGTTTTGTTCGTTCAGTAATCTCTCCACCTTCAAACAGACAATACAGCTCAGTCTAAACCTGATACAGTATATAAAAGTACCAATTGCTTATGTGAAATTAAGGCTCTATTCACACTCAAAATTGGGACCAGGACTAGAACTAAAAGGGCCCATATTACGCTATATTCTGATCTGTTATAATGCTGTTTCCTCACAAACAGACCTGAACAAAAGGTAAAGACGGAACAGAGCATTATCATCTTTAGAGATATAGACAGACTAAAGATATAAGATTACTCAAACATGTGTGAATGGAACAAAACACAACTCCAGTTATGTTTTTGATGAGGTAACAGCATTATAACATGATTTAAATCTAACAAGAGTCTCTTTTGTGTAATTTAGGACCTTTAACCAAACTATGTCTGGATTTGGATTTTATTTATTTACTTATTTATTTAATTCAAAATCAAATCAATACATGTGTGGAGTCTAAAACCTCTTTCCTCTTTGTACCTGGTTGTCATGGGTCTTCTGTTTGAGCTCCAGCTGTCTCGTGGCCTCGGCGGCGTTTTCTGTCCGAGTGCGCTCACACTTTTTCAGGTCTGAGTCCAGGTTTGAGTTCATCACCTCCATACGACTGGACATGGCCTGGATCTCTGCCACCTGCAACAAGCCAGAGTTTTATTCATGCGCTCAAATCAATAGACAATTAATAGACAAAGGCAATTTCAACATCTCTGTCATAATTAAAGGTGCAACGTGTAACTTTTGTGGTGGAGGGTTCAGGTTCTGCTTTAATATGATATTCAACAACTATACCTCACATTTACTCAGTTTACAGATGGTTTTACTGCTCAAAAATACCTATAAAAACAGACATTCTGACTGTGAGTGCGGTCGCCTCTCCGCAGATCTGACCTGTTACTTGTTCTGGTTTGGTCTCCATTAAGATAGAAAGGTTTAATGTCATACTGTAAAACATTCCAGACAAAGCAATAACATCTCCATGGAGAAAAGCATTTGATGGACCCTCCACTAGAAAAGTTACACAATGTATCTTTATATGAACTCAGCACAGCAAGAAGACAAGATTTCTCCATCTTGGCAGGATCCTATTGTTATGATTGTTTGCTTGAATATACATTTGTGGAACTGAACACTAAATTCACATTTTTATTTATTTGTTTGGTACTACAGTTTTAATAGTATTATCTTCTTTTTCTGTCAACTTAACAAAATATACTGAAAACTAAAACTGTGACATCATGAAAGACTGCCCTGGTGTTTCTGATCACAAACCTGGTTCTTCCGCTCAAAACTTTAAAACACCTGAACTCTGCCCACCACAATATTTCAAACAGAGCTGTTAAACTGGACAGTACCTGAGGGATTAAAAGGGAGAGGGAGGAGAAGGGGCGGGGTCTGCAGTTATAAAGAGCAGTGTGATTGGCCGAACAGGTATCCACACTTCAAGCTCCGCCCCTGCAGCTAGGTGTTAGTGATCAGAAACACAAGGTCAGTCTTATGTGATGTCACCAACTACTTGAAATAGTAAAGGCCACTAGAGGCAGGACACACCCACTTTTGAACAGAAAGCAGAAAATGTACCTAGTTTGAACTAAAATGGGCAAAAAATGATCAGAAACAGGAGACAACGCTATTCTACTATTTCTACTTTAAATACTACAGAAAAAAGTTCTCACAAATAAAATGATACACAAAAATAAGGCCAAAATATTTTCTAAAGTAAAAAATACATCCTGTACAAAACCTTCTAGTTTAATATAGTTTGAGGCCTTCATTCTTGCCTGTTTACACAAAAGCAGGTCATGTATTTGCTCAGGATTTAGGTATTTGCTGGTGCAGTTTCAGCAGACCTGCACTCTCACTGTTTTGACCCTCAGGGGACAAACGTCTCTCTCCATTTTTCGGGAATTAGACAGTTCCCGCTTCCTCCTCTCAGACTGACTTCCTGTCCGACACACTGCTCGGAAAATTCCACTGTTTTAAGGAAATTTGAAGATGGCAGAGTAATCGTAAATGCTTATTTTTACAGGCGTGTTAATGTGGAAAAAATCTCAACATATTTTGACAGATTATTTTCTATACTACTAATTGATACTTTGCAGTGACGTCAAGTCAGGGGTGAACTGCATGTATTTCTATGGCGTGACCTAATGCACACACTCAAGAAAAAATACAAAATAGATTTAATCAACAAATTTTCAGAAGCCTGTGATCAATTCCTATGTTCATGGACCTGTTTCGAGTTTGATTTCCTACAGAGATGAGAGCGACTAAGAGAGGGACGTGTTTAACAGCACAAATCAGATCATGTGTCATAGTTCCTGCTAATTCAGTTCTTTATGGTGATTTAGCTTCACACTACCAGGGAATGTTGATGACATCAGCTGTATCAATAGGACTGTTTCCTATTTATTTTTCCTAGGAAAGGAATGTTCCTATTTATTGTAGCATGTTGTGGGAAACAATTTTAATGAGTTTCGCTTCCTGTTATACAGTATGATCCATTTTGAGGTTAGTTGACCATTCAAAGACAGGATATTTTGTTTTGAATTGCTTGCTAAGCAACAGTTAATAATGGACTTTTAATTGTATCAAATAATAAACTGGATCAATAGAATGTGATTTTCAACACTGGCCACTTTTACATTATGTTTTTTAAATTCCGAATTAATTGTCCTGAATTAAATAGTTTGAACTTAAAATGTTCTCCTTCGAGTTTACATGGAAATAATAATTCCGAACTGAACATTAAATCACCTTTGTTTAATTCTGCTCAGCATTTCGGGGTGGGGAAGGGTTCTGACTGGACAGAGACACGAACGTATTTACATTGACCGGAAGAAAACACACACTTCAGCTGCTACCGGCTTTTCTGTCATCTCGGTTTGTTGTTACGGCACGGAACACAAACAAGGTCCAAACTTTTTCCTCAGTCGTTTTGATGATAATGAAGCAACAGCGCGAGAATTCTATCATCGTGCTTAACATCTGTCAGCTGAGGAGGAGAAGGGAAGAGTGTCGGAGAAGGGAGGAAGCAGACAAGTGAGTCAACGGCTGCTCTACCTCAGCCCACTCCCGCTCACAAATCCAAAGAGACGTGAATGAAAGTCTGAAGTCAGGACTGGTGGAGCCGGATCATTTGGATCGCATCAGAAGGGCGACCCAATGAGCATGCACTGAACGACAGGAATTATTTTTAAGAAGAATAAATGTTTACACGATTGAGAAATAAATTCATTCGACTTTAAAATCAGAATAAACCAACCACTTACTTCGGAATGAAGTTGTATTCCGAATAATCATTTTCATTAGACATTAAGTGTTTACATGGTCTTTTTAAAGAATTCATTTTTATTCAGAATTAAAGTATTTTTATTTGGAATTAAAGCTCTCATATAAATGTGGCAATTCAATCATAGTACTTTCTTTTCTATTCCAACATGGTCTTATATGTGTGAAATCCTCAGTGGTCCAGGTAGGTTCATAGTGTCCATGGGTGTATACTAGTCTATGTGCTCTTATACTTGTTCTGATACAGCTCAAGATCATTCTAAAGCTATTCAGAAAAAGTTCATTTCTGTCTTGTGAATGTGACATTTTTAGTATCGATACCTGCTCAGATGAGTATCTATATAATTTCTATTTTCGATACTTTTGACAACTATGAGCACAAACACTCACCTTGTCTCCCACTCGGTCGAGGTAAATCTGGAACTTGTTCTCCACGTCGTTGGAGAGGTTGGTGCAGCTGTTTCGGATCTTCTCCATCTGCTCAGCCTGGCTCGAGCAGGAGAGGTGAAAGGTCAGCTGATGGGGGAACAGGTTGTTGATTTTTTTCAGGAACTCGCTGGTCACACTTTTGATCCCGTCCAACGATTGAGCGAAGTCCTCCTTACATTTTCTGAAAATGAAACAGAGGAAATTATAGAGTTAGAAATGTAGAATGCATTCACACTTTCAACAGTACAAAATTTGGATCTGAACTGGGACTAAACCTGGAATTAAACCCAGACTAGACAAGTATGGAAGATAATTTGTTATGTCTTGACATCTCGGATCAGTTAAAAAATTGGCAGATAGAAATTCATGGTAGAGCTGAACAACTGAATTGCAATTTTTCTGTCAGATATTGCGATTTGGATTTCATCCACAATTTTTTTCAAATCAAGTTTTAGTGCACATGAACATTTACAAACATCACAGAAACTTACATTATACCAGAGTCCTTCACGGACAATTTGACACTGGACTGTTTGTGCACATTTGTTTATGTTTTGCAGAAACAAAACTTAAAACCACAAGGCTCATTTGCATAAACTAAGCACCTTGTGCACTGATGTGGTCAGCTTCTGTTGTACTAAAGGACATGACTCAGTGGATTATGAGTGTTTTCTCTGTGACAGAGGATGTGCTGATGATGCTGAGTCTGTTCTGTGCTTCTATCATGTTGGAGATGTTTCATGTTAAACTTTACACGAGCGCCAGGTTTAAATTCTAGCCTCCTTGCATTGCAGCGGTGAATTACTTCACGGCACATAGACCTTAACGCAGATCCATAAATCAAAAACAAAGGCAACAAGGTGTCAGCGGCAGTGTGCATTGAGTCGACGCAGAATTAAACTTTGCCCTTAAAATTGGACTTTAAGATCACTGCAAAAAAACGCAGCTTTGACGGTCTCAAAATCATGTTGTCTGAGATCATGATTTAAATGCCATGATAATTCATGGCATTTAAAGGGTCCATATTAAGATATGTTCTGATCTGTTATATAATGGTGTTTCCTCATCAAAAATATTCTTGGAGTTGTGTTTTGTTTCTTTCACACATGGAAATGTTGCCCGGAATGTTCCACAGTATGAGATACTTTTTTTTATCTCTATCATCACAGGGCCAAGTTACATGTCAAATCTGCAGAGAGGCGAGACCATTCACAGTAAGAAAGTGAGTTTTTAACTCCATAAAAACCCATGTTATTCAGTAAATGCAAGATGGATACGTTTAATGTCATACCGGAAAAGAAAAGTTACACAATACACCTTTAACACATAAATTCTGCATATTTAGGCTGAATTCTTGTCTCAAACCAGGTCTGTTTGTAATGAGCAAACAACATTATAACAAAGATCAGAAAATAGCCTAATATCTGCCCTTTAAATAGGATTGTTGACATTGGCTGCTGTGACTACCAAAAGTAACGTGCAATCTTAAACAACAGATAATCATTAAAGTCGTGCATAAAAGACGCAATAAAAGACAACAGCTCTGTGGCCTCCGTGTACTGAAACTCTACATTACGAGGTGTACCTGGAGTAGACGGTGAGCTGGTCCTTTAACATGGAGTTCTCCCTCCTCTGTGCGATGGCGTCCTGGTGGTGCGTGTCTCTGTCTTTTAGAGCCGTGTCTCTCTCCTGACTCAGGTAATGCACCATCTGCGTGAAGTTGGCCTCGATCAGGTTTATCATGGCCTTCTGCTGAGCGTTCAGGGTCTGCAGAGTGCTCAGTTCACCTGCAGCAGACACAAGGACGGACAATGTGTTCAATTATTATTATTATTACAAGCCAATCTATTAATATTGGTCATTGATTGGAGATGTTATTGCTTTGCCAGGAATGTTCCAATGTATGGTATTATAGGTATTACAAATCTATCTATCTCCATGGCAACAAGCAGATGTCAGGGTAATTATAATGGGCAATAACAGGCAAAGACACACCTCAAATTGAACAAATAAAAGATGGATTTAATGCCATATTGTGGAACATTCCAGGTAAGATTCCAGGCAGATCCTCCAACAGAGAGATTTACATACTCCTTTAAAACATCATATTTCTACTTTTATAACAATATTACAGCATTGGATTTAATTGGAATATTAAAATGATTTAATATTCATCATAAACTTTTTGTCAATTAAAAACTTACTCCAAACTCACAGTGGGAAAAGTAACAGAAACGTTGTAACTAGGTATGAAACAATAACTGAAATATCACCTTCATAGTCTCACCCCACTTGCTTTATAAACCTCCTCCTTCAGAAACATAGTCAAAGGGGCTTGAACACTCAAAGATCACACTATTTTCACTTTTGAAATCATACTATGTTGACTTTTCAAGTCTCCCCGGGCCCATATTCTTGATGGTAAATAACATTTTTCTGCTTAAGACGTCCAGTTGGTTGAAAACTTCAACATCGTGGGCTGTCACAATATATCGAATTACAAGTTCCTTTGCTTAAATCCATGGTTTTATAATAGCAACAGCTTATGAACATCGGAAACTACATATCCCATGATTCATTTCAGTGCAGACAACATGAAGAGATATGTTTTTACTTGAATTCTTGGGATTATCACAGAAATAATTCACACCAAAATCTTGTCAAGGTATTTTAAAAGCAAAAAAGTGTCTCATCTACAATTATAATAGCCTCTTCAAAATATTGCAATAAATATCGTACCGTGACATTCATATTGTGATAATATTGTACTGAGAGATTTGGATACAGTTACATCCCTCATAAACAGACCTGGAGTTGTAGTTTGTTACATTTACATCTCCTAAGCTCAAAATGTTCTGTTCCACTTTGTGATGTCATGAAGCGACCTTTTACTTTTCATTCAGTAGAGATTGGCAATGGAGTTTAACACCATGGAGCATTTTCTGTATTTCCACGTGACATCACAAGGTTTTTCCAGTGTTTTCTGAGTTGTGAAAGAAGAACTGAGCCTAAATATTCCGGGTTTGTGCATTGAACGTGCATGAATAAAACGAAACGCAACTCCAGGTCTGTTTTTGACGAGGAAATAACATTATGACGCAGAACAGAATGATAGAAAACAGTGCAAAAATAGTCCTTTAACGATACTCACGGCTGGCCGGGTTGAATATGACCTGGGGCTGGACAGGTGTGGTGCGCATAGTGCGAGCCTGACTCAGCTGTCTCTCGCAGTCGCTCTGAGGATGGACAAAACAGACTCAGGAAGATGGACCAGGCTGTACCACTGCTGTTACTGCGCTGACGGCCCATAGGAAAGCAACAACAATGCCCCAGGAAATGATCTCGCGCTATAATGTGGGGCATACACACTGTAAAGGGCGCTCATTTGTTTGTGTTGGAGGAGAAACGATGATAAATGAACTAAGGTGAAACTCCCATGTGTGCTAATAAATATAATTAGCGTTTATCTGGGTTAAATTGGAAAACAGATATATCTACAGATGTTTTTCGTGTTTTTAAGATATTTTTATGAAATTAGATATTGCGATTTTAACAGTATCCTTGCAACAATAAAACAGGAATGCCATAACACCACAAAGACTTTTCATTTCTGTCACGCTTCTACCGGAAAGAAGTATGGATAAGTTGGAAAAAACGATACGAAAACTCAAATCGTGCTTCAAAAATACGTGAAGCCTGTTGGAATTTTACTCTACAAACTCTTAGTCCAAAAGGTTTAAATGATGAACTGTTATTTAATGTAATGTTATGATTTCAAAAAAGTGTTATAATGATAAGCACGTACAGTATATACGCTCCTACATAAAAAACAGAGGAATTTACTGATGTTTTTCACGTTTTAAGATAGTAAAAATTAGATATTGTGATTTAAACAATATCGTTACAACAATAAAACAAAGCTAGTCCAAAACAGGAGATCATAAATTTAAGTTTTGGTATCTGTGAATAAAATAACACTGAACCCAGGAAATTATTATTTGGGTTAAATTGGAAAAGAGAGGAGTTTACGATAATTACAATACTGACCATATATTTAGCGCACAGTACTTATCGTGTGTACATTTCCTTTACAATAATGAGGAAATTTTTGTTATTTTGGATGTAACACCAAAAGATTTGAGCTATTTTCTGATTTATGTTCTAATGTTGTTTCCTCATCACAAACAGACCTGGAGTTGAGTTTTAGGCTTCTCTCAAACAGAAAACACTCTGTTCCACCTTGTGATGTCATGCAATAATACAGAAGTGCTCCACTGTGTTTTAAACTCCGCACATCTTCACTAGAATCATTTTGATCACTTCAGATCTGGATTTTCCAATCTCTACTAGGTAGGTAGGTAGGTAAAAGGTAACTCGAGAACTAGTGCTGCATGACATCACAAGGTGGAACAGAGCCTTTTGAGTTATGAAGATGTAGACAGCCTAAAAATAAAGGATTACTTAACCATGCTTGAATGAAAAAAACACACAACTCCAGGTCTGTTTTTTGAGGAGGTAACAGCATTCACAAGAGATAATTTAACTTTATGAGATCAGATAATTTTGAAGTAAACTGCAGTGAAATCGATGCCCTCACCACTTTCTTCCTGAGTTCATACTCCGTAGTGTTGGCTGTGGCCTTCGCAGTCTCCAGCTCCTTCTCCACTGCCGTCTTCTCTTCTCCTTTGGCCTTGAGCTGAGCATTCAGATCCTCTTTTTCTTTACGCAGGTCCAAGTTTAACTTTCCCAGGTGCTCCAAATTATTCTCCAAATCCTGAACAATACAACAGCATCAGTATCAGCACTTGAATTTGCATTACCTTAGGATATTTGTGGAGCTATTGTAATAATATATGAGGCACAGGAGCATGTTGTCTTAGGGTTAGGGTTATACTTTTTTCATTCCTGTCTCTGTCTCATGACAGAAATGTAGAATGTATATCAAAGGAAAAAGCACCATCTCAGCTCTTTTTTGTCTTTTCATTCTATCTCTCTGTTTTGTGCACACACAGAGTTATAAGAGCGAGGTTGGATGACTGCGCCAACATGCCCCATTTGGGGTAAGTTGTCACAACCAATGGGGCAAGTTGTCACACTCATCTTTATCATTACATTTTAAAACAAAAATGAATGTTTTTATTTATGATGATTGTATTTTCTAGCTTTGGTAAATACTTTAATTGTTTATCCAAAGAAGTTTCATTCAAGTATAGAGTGCACAATGTGACAGGGCATCTGATGTTCTGGCCTCTGGTTTGGATCAGAGTGACTAAAGAGGTATTCCGGCCAAACCCTGTAAAATGTGTTTTAGAGCTCACACTGGAATCAAACTGACTCAGTGTCACTAGAGAAATCTCCTTATTAAAATATGAACATAACTCATAGATTTATGTGATGGTTTGTTGGGACAACTTGTACCTCTGTGACTGGAACAGCTTTCTCAAAAACCCAGGTGCACTTCTCTGGGTTGTGTCTAAAGTTACCTTCATCTGAGCAGTTTCACTGATCATTATAACAAAGTTCTACTTGTTATTTAATATTTAAATATGAATTTGCTACATTATTAAAATTTTTTGGAAAGTTATAACTAAATATTGCATGTCACAAAATTACCTGAGACTATAAAGAATGCTTTTCTGGAAATATCTCAGGCAAACAAAGATCTGATGAGTTCAAATTCAGAACAGAAATGAAGACACAAAAAACACATTAAATTGCTATTTCACTCTTGTGATTAAACTTTTTTTTTATTATTAATGCAGTGAGACAGTTGACCCAGTGTGCCAACATGTATGCCCAGTCTCCCCTTTTATATAACCTAAATTAATTAAATCCAAGTAGCCAGGGGCCAATCAGAGTGCAGAATTAAGATGATTTATCTATTTTAATTTTACAATTACAGGAGAGTAATTTATTACAGCTCTAAAGAATAAAGAATATATATTGTCATAGAAAAATAACATTTTTAGATTGCAGTATCAGTCGTTGGATGAAATTATCTTGTTTTTGCATTTAGAAAACCAACGAACCAGTGAATATTGGTGAGCTTTGGTCAAATGTTCCAACTGATCCTGGTGTTAACATGAAATAAGTAACTCTAAACCCACTTGACTGAATTAGATGTTATCTTTTAGGGTGTATGTTTTGAAAAATGAAGATTAGTACAGTTCATGCAATAATAAACCCGAGCGTAAACGGCAAGAAAAGTGACCTGACCTTCACCCTCTTCTCCTCCACGTTTCTCTCCGGCTGCCCGTACACGAGGAAGAGCACCAGACTGACGATGATGAGCGACTGGATGAGAGACGAGAAGAAAAACACGATCTTCACGTAGTACCCGCAGCTTTTGCCTCTGGATCTGTGGAGCTCCCGCGCGTCCAGGCCCAGTTTGGCCCGGGAGTAGCTGGAGCTGTACATGGCTGTAGGGGGCGAAATGGTGGCGATGGAGAGGAGGGAACTAAAGAGAAAAAGTTTGGGAAAAGTTGTTTTAAATGAGTCTAGTAGAGGTTTGTGTGCAGACGGTGGTGGTGGTTATTGAGCGTGAAGTTGTATGTTGTATGTTCTGACCTCAGGAGCGCGCGGGGACATGTTTATAAACGCGATGGAGACACACTTCCCCTGCATCCGGGTCCCTCCCTCCTCCTCCTCCTCCTCCTGCGTCTCATCCTCAGCTCGGGACAGTGTGCTCCAGCGCGGGTGACAAAGACAAAGACAGCTCCCCGATGGCACATTGTTACGCTTAAGTACAGATAATTCAAGTTTTTTTTCCAGTGTCACTGTTATTATCCGCAAAAAAGTCACAAACAAGTAGGTCACAGGTTTTTCCATGTTCAAATCTGGGTCATAACAGTCAAACAAGGATAAAATGAAAGGAAATGTTTATCCAAAAGAGTTTACATGTTACAACACTGTTCCCTCATCATTAACTTTTAATCATTTACTTGCATTTATATTTATATTTTTGCTCTTTATTATATTATATTGTGATGTGTGAGTCACTGTGTCCAAATCTTTTCCCTTGTGGATCAATAAAGTTTGTCTAAGTCAGAGTTGTATATTCATTGGTTCATGGATGTTGTTGTAATACTGCTGCATTTTTATTTTGTGCGCTCAGAAAATTTCAGTTTTCACCTACCCCCTATCTCCACCAACTGGCTGATCTGTAATTTCTTGCAATGATTCAAAAAGACTCAGACTTTGGATCACAAGTGTAGTGCTAAAAAATGTCACATAGCTACTTTTCAAAAATAAAAACAGTAAATCAGTAAAATCCTAGTACAGTTAAATTTCACTGTTTCACTTTCAGTTCTGTAGTTTTAAACAGGGAGCTAATGGACATGTTATTTGTATTATACATGAATAACAAGATTAATACTGTGGTTGAAGTCAGAGTTTCCCAAAGACTGGGTCATGGCCCTCAGGTGGGTTCCAAGAGATTTTTTGGGGTCTCCTCGTCACAATCTGCACGTAGGTCTGTGATATACAGTTCTGACACATGAGAGAGCGACTGAATCTCTTTTCCTTTCACTATTATATTTATGTGTGAATTGGGATTTTCTGTGTTCACAAAAATGAAAACAAAGCACAGAAACAGACTGAATGCTGTGCTTGATCTGCTGCTGCGCTCTCCTCCTGCACCCAGATTGGAACACGCTACAAAAACACAGACAGGTTCACCTATCTCATTAGAAATGTTAAGACATGTTTTGTTTAATTTCTAATCTTTTTGTAATAATTAAATTTTTTTATTATTTTGTTGCAGTATTGCTGGTTCAATTGACTGTTGAAAAGAAAAAGAATTAGGCTTCATTTAATGTCCAAATAGTCGACTTTTATGGATCCTTTTATTGCTGCTTCAACTGTTTTTCATTGTTTAAAACTTAGTAATTGTTCAGAGAGACACAATCAGTAACGGTCAAATCTACCTTTATTTTGTGATTTATGAATAATGTCTTTTGACCTGGGTTGCAAAGGTTTGTGACTTTTAAAATATGAGTCCCCAGAAAAAAAGTTCGGGAAACATGGTTTAGAGTGAATGTCAGAGTCAGACCTGGGCATTGTCCAGCTCACAGGTCACATACGGACCTTTGGTTGACTCTGACCGCCCCGTTTAAGATAATTTAGCATGACAAAATTTACATATTTTATAATTTTACCTCATGCATGGACTAAAGCTGTATTCCTTTTATTTTAGAAGTGTTTTTTAAATTACATTTTTTGTAAGGCACCTTCACTTTTTCATTGCTTAGTCAAAACATAAACTCTTACCTGTCTCACCAGTGTGTCAAAACAAAGATATTTACTGTTTTTTATAAAGAAATACAATTAATATTATGTAGAATTGAGTTAAGCATTTTGGTCCAGCCCCCCACAATATTTTCTATTTCTCATGTCGTCTCATGGAAAAATGATCTATGTCTTCTTTAAAGTGGAGAATGACAAAATCTGAGATAAACATTGAACACTCCACACCTGAAAAAAAGGCTAAAAGAAAGACATTTAAATGATTTATTGTATATTCTACAATAGTAATCCCTGACACCTGCTTTACAAACTTGACAAAGCCTCTAAACTATTTTATAGCCCTTCGCAAGTAATCAGTAATGAATTGTATTCTGAAATGGTTTTTTTATGATTTAAATTTTTGTGTAACAGTTTTGTTTGTAAGTGTCTTATTTGTTGTTGTTCTGTGTTATATGTGGACGCCAGGAAGAGTAGACAGTGTCACTGACATCAGCTATTGGGGATGCGAATAAAATCAAATCTCAAAGCACCACACAGTCTTTATTCCTCCTCCACACACTTGATGATGGTAAAATATTAATTATAGTCACAGCTGCTCCGGGGTAGAACCATAAACTGTAAATATATATAAATCTTTCTACAGTCTATTAGAGCAGAATTGATGAAGGCTGCTACTCTGCTCCATCAGCTCTGAGTGCCTTAAAATGCATCTGATAGATGAAATTATTCCTTTAATTTACTCTAAATCTGTTTTTTCATGCACAAAAAGAAACTTTTAATATCAAATTACAGCACTTAGTGAGGAAAAAAGCTTAAATTGAAACTCAGGCTCAAGAAAATTGTTATATATATGTTTGACCACTTAACAGCAGATAAACTAGGATTTAATTTAAAAAAGCAAAAAAAATCCTCAGTAAGTTTCCACAGATAAAATGTCTAAGCAACTCTCTGAAACTTTCCATGGATAAACAGGCTGAACTAAAGCCACACTCAGTAGCTTTCCATGACATATCCAGTCCCTCTCACAGACAAAGCGAACGGGAGGAAAGTTCAGTGTACACGGCGCTTTTAAATATAGCCTGACTGACTCCGTATTATACTTCCTGCGTCCATAAACAATGTGAAGAGTTTGGAGCAAAAATGAGAATAACAGGCTGAAGATGGCGTCGCTTCCTGAGCACGGACAGAGGAAAGAGTCGTCATGACGATGGACGAGTGCAAAAATGCAACAATGGAGAGCTGTCATTCTTTACTGATGAAGAAACAACAAACCAGACGGACACGCCCTCTCCTCTCTCCCACACTTCTGCCCCCTCCTCTCGTTCCTCATCTCTTCCCTCTCCTCTTTTCCTCCTTATCTCCTTTCCTCCTCCTCCTCCTGTCTTCCTCTTCTCTTTCACCTCCACTTCTCCTCCTCATCTTCTTTCCCACTCCTCTCTCATCTTCTTTACTCCCCCTCTCACTTCTGCTCATCTCCATTCCTCTTCTTTCCTTCTCCTCAATTCCTTTCCTTCTCCTAATTTCCTTTCCTCCTCTTTCCTTCTCCTCATCTACTTTCCTTTTCTTCTTTCCTCCTCCTCTTCTCGTTTCCTCCTCCTCATCTCCTTTCCTTCTCCTCATCTCCTTTCCTCCTATTTCGTCCTGCTCATTTCCTTTCCTCCTCTTTCCTTCTCCTCACCTCCTTTCCTCCTCTTTCCTTCTCCTCACCTCCTTTCCTCCTCTTTCCTTCTCCTCATCTCCTTTCCTCCTCTTTCCTTCTCCTCATCTCCTTTCCACCTCTTTCCTTCTCCTCATCTCCTTTCCACCTCTTTCCTTCTCCTCATCTCCTTTCCTCCTCTTTCCTTCTCCTTTCCTCCTTTCCTCCTCTTTCCTTTCCCTCATTTCCTTTCCTTTTTTAAAGTAAAGAGCGGAATAAATTGTCATTCGTTTAGGTAAAATACAGAAAAGCTGCTTAAAAATGATTAAAACACAAAGAAAATGTGAAAACACTGACTCAAATGGGCCGAGTGCAGAACAGTTTTCCTTAATTACACACTCCATTCACAATTTTATTATTGTAGTAGTAGTAGCAGTAGTAGTAGTAGTAGTAGTAGTGGTAGTAGTTTATTTTGTCATTTTGCAGTCCTACAAAACAAATCATAGACTAGAACCCCATGGATCATGATGAAAGGATTTAGGCTGAAGTAAAAAGTACTTCTAACGCCAAACCCTATGAAACAACAACAGAATTTCAAGAAAGAAAAGCTGCGTATGAAGAGCAAGTTTGCATTTACTGTTTCACTTACGACTTACTGTACGTTGCCGGTCAAAAGTTTTAGAACACCACACTTTTTCCAGTTTTGAATGTTTACTGTAAAAACTGTTTACTGTATTCTAAACTTTTGATTCATGAAAGTGTCCACCTTTGGCAGATTTAACAGCTGAACACGCTCGTGGCTCGTTCTTTTTACAATAGAAATCAAATTCTTCAGAAAGTTCTTCCCAAGTCTGTTGCAGAACTTTCCATAAATGTGTGGCACTTGTAGGTCGCTTCACTCTTCTGTCCAGTTCATCCCAAACCAGCTCCATGGGGTTTAAGTCTGGACACTGTGCTGCTGGACACTCCATGTTTCAAGCTTTACTATCTTAATTTTTTTTCCTGAGGTAGTTCTGGCAGAGCTTGGACTTGTGTTTTGTATCTTTTATCTTTTCATTGGACTTGCGCGACTTCAGCTCCAATAAATAACTGGAAAAATTAGGATATTCTAAAACTTTTGACCGGTAGTGTATATATAAGAGACAAAATATATAAATTTAAAACAAACAGAATTTAACGCATAATTCATTCATTCCAGAGCCTCTTTTTTGAAGGCATCTACAGTGTTAGATTTTTAAAAAAATCATCACTCAGATTGTTCCATACACTAAACCCTCTAACAAATACAATCACTTTTTATTTTTTTGTACTTATCTTCATTTTTCACATTTTTCTTTCCTTCTCCTCATCTCCTTTCCTCCTCTTTCCTTTTCCTCATCTCCTTTTCTCCTCCTCATTTCCTTTCCTACTCTTTCTTTCTCCTCGCCTCCTTTCCTTCTCCTCATCTGCCTTTCCCTCTCTTTCCTTTCCTCCTCTTTCCTTCTCCTCATCTCCTTCCCTCCTCTTTCCTTCTCCTCCTTTCCTTCTCCTCATCTCCTTCTCCTCATCTCCTTTCCTTCTCCTTATCTAATTTCCTCCTCATTTCCTTTCCTCCTCTTTCCTTCTCCTCACCTCCTTTCCTCCTTTCCTCCTCCTCACCTCCTTTCCTCCTATCCTTCTCCTCATCTCCTTTCCCTCTTTCCTTCACCTCATTTCCTTCTCCTCATCTCCTTTCCCTCTCTTTCCTTCACCTCATTTCCTTCTCCTCATCTCCTTTCCTTCTCCTCATCTCCTTTTCTCCTCTTTCCTTCTCCTCATTTACTTTCCTCCTCTTTCCTTCTCCTCATCTCCTTTCCCTCTCTTTCCTTCTCCTCATTTCCTTCTCCTCATCTCCTTTCCTTCTTCTCATCTCTTTTCCTCCTCTTTCCTTCTCCTCATCTCATTTCCTCCTTTCCTTCTCCTCATTTCCTTTCCTCCTTTCCTTCTCCTTTCTCTCTTATCTAATTTCCTCCTCATTTCCTTTCCTCCTCTTTCCTTCTCCTCACCTCCTTTCCTCCTTTCCTCCTCCTCACCTCCTTTCCTCCTATCCTTCTCCTCATCTCCTTTCCCTCTTTCCTTCACCTCATTTCCTTCTCCTCATCTCCTTTCCCTCTCTTTCCTTCACCTCATTTCCTTCTCCTCATCTCCTTTCCTTCTCCTCATCTCCTTTTCTCCTCTTTCCTTCTCCTCATTTACTTTCCTCCTCTTTCCTTCTCCTCATCTCCTTTCCCTCTCTTTCCTTCTCCTCATTTCCTTCTCCTCATCTCCTTTCCTTCTTCTCATCTCTTTTCCTCCTCTTTCCTTCTCCTCATCTCATTTCCTCCTTTCCTTCTCCTCATTTCCTTTCCTCCTTTCCTTCTCCTCATCTCCTTTCCTCCTCTTTCCTTCTCCTCATCTCCTTTCCTCCTTTCCTTCTCCTCATCTCCTTTCCTCCTCTTTCCTTCTCCTCATCTCCTCAATGAACTTGCGCGACTTGAACTGCAATAAATAACTGGAAAAATTAGGATGTTCTAAAACTTTTGACCGGTAGTGTATATATAAGAGAAAAAATATAACTTAAAACAAACAAACAAACAAAGAATTTAATGCATAATTCATTCATTCCAGAGCTCTATATCTTTCCAAACATAACACTTCATACTTCTTCAGTGCTTCTACAGTGTTAGACTTTTTTTATAAATCATCACTCAGATTGTTCCATACACTAAACCCTCTATCAAATACAAACACTTTTTTTGTACTTATCTTCATTTTTCACATTTATTTTATTCTCCAAACCAGGAGTGTCCCAGTTTTTGATTTTTGATATTGAAACTCTGGTCACCCTGCATACTGTGTAACGCTGCAGGCTCTCCCCTCCTCTATCCATCCCTCCTCCACCTCCCTCTCTCTTCCCCCTCTCCTCCTCCTCCTCCTCCCTACCTCCCTTCTGCGTGGCTTTGACGTGGGGCAGTTACCTCCTTACTCCGGGCCAGTCTCGAGTTCGCCTTTCTGAGCTCGGTGGTTTTTCCTGCTCCCCATTGTCCAGCTGACAGCCTGTCCTCACCGGAAACAGCGGGAATTTATGGATCGCCACCGCAACATGGAGTGGACAGACAGCTGAACAAAAACAGGAAGCGCAATGGGCAAAAAGACAGATAAAAACTCGTATGAAGATAAGTAAACACAGTGAAAGGTGAAATCATCAAAAACAGCAAAGATAACAGGAGCGGGGTTTGATAAAGGCATTCATTTATACTGATGGATGAGACAGAGGGGCTTTCTCAGGATACAGTGATGGAGAATGGAGTGGGAAAAAAAATCTGAACTGTACTTTTTTTCCCAGCAACAAAGTTTTAAAAATAAGTTGAGAGCAGAGTGGTCAGAAACTTCCAAACTTGAAGCAGGTTTGTGGATAGATCTTCAAATCTGACAACTAATGATAAATATGGGTGAAGTCTGCAAATTACAACAGATTTGAGGAGAATCTTTTGAAATGTTCTTGAGTAATATTAAAAGTGCACTATTTTTTTTCTGATCTGCCACCACTTGTCTCCATGGGGATGTTATTGTATTGCTTTGTCTGGAATGTCCCACAGTATGGCATTGAGTGTATCTACCTTGATGGCGAGCCGGTCACGTTGCCAGGCCAAGTTGCATTCTGATCTGTGGAGCGGTAAGTAAGAATTTAAGTTTTTTTTGGGGAGTAATTTAATAAATACCAGGTTTAAATGCTACACTGTGAAACATTCAAGACGAAGCAATGATATCTCCATGGAGATCACAGGCAGATGGTGATCTCAACCTAAACAAAAGTAAAATACTGACCATTTACTTTCAGGTACTTATTTTGCTAATCTTCATCAGTATGAGGAAAAAGCTGGTATGTTATTTTTATATTTCTTGATCTAAGCAGCAGAACAGTGCATGATAACTGTGCATTACTTTATACTTTTTCTGTTTGAATACAGAAATACTAGATCAAGCTGACAGTAGCTCAGTTGGTAAAGTGTTTGTTTGAAGGTTGGCAGTTTGAATCTCGCTCTCAACATCAACATCACAGGTTGAGCAGTCAAATCCACTAACCCACAGGTTGGCTGGTGTGATTCCAGCTCCCACAGAAGAATGCTGTCGTTGTGTCCTTGGGCAAGTCACCTAACCTATCTCTCCCCCAGTGTGTGTGTTGTACACTGGTGTATAAATGTGTGTGAATGTGTGAGTGATTCCTTGTTATAAAAGCATTTTGAGTGCCTTGAAGGTGGAAAAGCGCTGTATAAAAATTAATAAATGTGATTCTGACACATAATTTTAGCAAATACTCTTACTCATTGATAATTTCTGTAATATAATATTCTGTATGATAATAACTTATCATTTTACTTGAGAATTTTGGAGAAATCAAGTAACAAAAGTAACTCTATGACAAGGCGAATTGTGTCATTATTCAATTTGCTTATATTTAGTGTTAGATTAATTAATAAAATGATAAATGCTAAGTTACTGTACACTTGGTCAACTGACATGAAATTAAACTCTGCTGAAGGCATGGAGACTAGTGGAACTTTGCTGCCCTCTGCTGATAGAAAAGCAGAAGTGAGAATAATAGCAAGAGAATAAAAAAGTCATAAAAAGTAAATTATTTATTATACATCCTATTGTTCAGAATGAGAGTGAAGTTGACAGTACAATGGGCCACAGTAAGAAAGAACATTACAAATAAAAACATAAAAATAACAGGAGACAGAGTGGTCTGCACAGAGGGGCTGTAGTGTTACTTTTAAAGCTGTACTGTGTAACTTTTCTGATGTAGACACCTGTTACCATGGAGATGTGATTGCTTAGTCTGGAATCCACCACAGTTATAACATTAAACTTATTAATCACCATGGAGACAAGCACGTGAAGCCGCCAGGGCAAATGACAGAGGTAACCTTGTTTTAGGCAATTTTTTTTGTAATAAAACACCCGTTGAAAATCCAAAATAGATAACTGTAATGCCAGATTGTGGAACATTGCAGGCAACGCAATAACATCTCCAAGCAGACAAGCAAGTCCATGACATGTTACATAGTGCAGCTTTAAGAACATAACTGTCACATAATATCTTCCTTTTTCATTTTCTACTTTTCAGCTGTGCAGTCTTTTAAGTGCATGTCATTCATTGTATTTTCGCTTTACCCTGACTTCAGCCCCACCAACACCATCCTCCTTAGATAACTTAACAGTGGCTACATTTACATGGACAGTGAAATCTGACAACTGGAGATCTGATTATTGGTGCAGAAATGAGATCATTTGTAATTAATAACAATCAGATTACTCACATCAAGTTTAGATTTCCACATATAATTTTAACAACTCCAGGAATCAGATAACACTCACTGAGGCCTGTCACGGTAATTACTGTATTGTATTATCATTAGGGGTGGGACGAGGCACGATTTCCACAAGACGGGACACGAGATTAGGTCCACAAAAAGAAGACAAGATGAGACTTTGAAATAATGTATCATAAAATACTTGTGTGATCCCGTTTGCGATTTTGGCCTAATTTCATATTTTTGTAGTAACAGTAGTAGTAGACCTTCTTTTTGTCATTTACTAGCCCTTAACTCTTTTAATTCCACTCTAGATGTAAACTAAATGATAAACAATCTCACAAGATCAGTTTCTTCACGTGTGTGTGATCTCGAGGCGCAAGAACTTCTTGTTATGGCACTTCCTGTTAAATGTGGATCCCATTCATTAAGAATTTGAGAAAAGTTTTGCAGCTGAAATATTACTTAAAGTAGGCTCATTTGTCAACACTGAACTGATTCTCTGGGATGCTTTATAATCCTTATTGAACTAATTTGCTTAGGATCTGCAGCCCCAAACAAAATAATACAACTCGAATGATGATGGTGTCGCCCACGGCAACTTCCAAAATAAGGTGGATACTTTCTTGAGCAGTAAATCACACATCAGACTTTGTTATCGTGACAGGCCTAGGTGGTGCACATGTAAAGATAGCCAGTTGGAGTTCAGTAAATGACATTCTTCATACATTAGATCAGACAGTTGCCTCTCCGTCCTGTGGATCCTCCCCCTCCAGAAGGCTGTAGGAGGCATGGCTTTGGAAGGGTCTCTGGAGCGGGTGGGACAGCAGCTTGGCCATACAGTTGTGCAGTTCTATGGCCGGTCCACACAGAGACACCTCATAACGGTAGCACATGCCCTTAGAGTCCAGGTTACAGAAGGACGTATAGTTTTCCTGCAAGAAGAAAAGCAAACTCCATTGACAGAGTGTGATAAGCGGGAGTGAGGATTATTAATTGAATTTTAATTGAGATTGAGATCTATTTCTAATCGTCAGTGATCAGATCGGGTCATTTTAATGGAGAGGTCCGCAGCCAATCCTCTGTCAGTCAAGGCATGTGGTTTGGTGGAAAAAATGTGGCAATTTTTTGTGTGAAATGCTAATGAATAAATGTCCGCATTGTTTAACTACTGGAAATTATTTTTAAATCCAGTTTTTATTTATTTTTAATAAGAACAAAAATTTTATTTAAACAAAACTGTAAAAAGAGGAAAAAAAAGATTAATCTTTTTTTTTTTGCCATATTGCCTTGACCTAGTTGTAATAAATGATTTTATTTATTTACTATTTCTAGATATTGATTTGAATTTTTATACCTGAATGATTTATTTTCTTTTGTATTTACATTTTGTTACTATTATCAACTAAAATTCCTTCCTACTGTGTTTTCCTTTTGTTATAAATAAAATACATTTTATTTAAAAAACACTGTATTAAGGCAAAAACGCACCCTCCAGCTGGTCTCATCTCCATGTTCGTCCATGCCATTGTGAAGGTACACAACGTCAAAGAAGAAATATGGAGACTGAAGCATTTTCTGCAAAACAAAAGATCAAATCCATATTTAGTTTTATAAATATTGTGAATGGGATACATTATACTGTGAGAGTGAGTCCCGTACATTGACGGCCTCTGAGGGGCTGAACTGCAGAGGTCCTGCCTGTCGGCTGTAGATCAGAACTGTTCGAATCACATACGGAGGAGGAATCGTCTGCACATTCTCCATCATTGGCAACTCAATCTTCTGTCGACTAAAGGTATGAAAATAAAGAGATGTACTTTCTGAATTTGGTGTCCTTTTTTTGATAAATTTGAAATGAATTAGCAAAAATGAGTCATTACTTACATAACATTTAATAGATCTTCAAGGTCTGAAGCAACAAGTTAAGGTCAAACTTAGTCATTCAATTCATGAAAACTGAGATTGAGCAACATCTTTTTTGTCATGTTGTCCAACCCTGCTTGTGTAAATGTCACACAGATCACATCTGCTTTGAGCTAAGCTTAAAGGATACTGAATGACTCGCACACATTGGTCTCCAGGTCGTACAGGCAGCTGCACAGTTCTCTGGGGTCAGAGGTGAAGCCAGACAGCTGTAAACACCAGGAAAGCACAAAAGTACTTTTATGAAATACAGTTAAATAAATTCACATAAAGTGATACTGATGACTGAGACTCACCCATAAGGCGTCATCGTTGACCACCACCAGAGCAAACTCGTGCCGTTTGTCGATTTTGTGCTTTGTCCTCACAAACATTTCAATCATCTTTTGAGAAATGTTCAGGGCGTTGGTTTTAGACCTGAATTTAAACACAATTATTTAATTCCAGACTCTATTTGATGAAGTGACTATATGACAGTGAGCTTACCCATTAAAGGACTCCAACTTTGGCAGAGACATTTCTTCAGACAGATCTAAGCAAATAATCTAAAAGAAAAAAAACAATAAATAGTCATAAAACAAATGTGAAGCTAAAATATTTCATAATTTATCTTTAAACTAGGACTGGATAAAATGGGAAATGTGGCTCAAACTGAAAAATGTCTTATTTTTCATTAGTTTGAAAAAGGCAGGGTCATGCATTTATTCAATTACAGGTGTTTTATTGGTACACAAAAAGAAAAGAAAAAGATAAACATACATTCTTCCTGTAAACAGACTGGCTCCCATAGATTTCACATGGTGGCTACTTGTCTTGACTGTGATAGATAAGTTAAATGCCATACTGTGGAACAGTCCAGGCAAAGCAAGAAAATCTCCAAGAAGACAAGCAGTTGAGGGACCCTCCACTCGAAATCACACCTTTAATATTATCCCAGTGAGAGAAACATACCACTTTCTCTGGACAGTTGACCCGTGGGACCCTCAGCTGGTACTCTGCTGGAGGGGGGATGCTGGCACTGATTGGGGGTTGGCTCTGTGCAGGTTTGGGCCTCTCTTTAACCACAGCAGCAGCACCAGCAGCAGCGTTAGAGCTAGACCCTGCAGTACTGGGGCCGGCCACAGCAGCGGCAGCAGTAGGTGGCGCCGTTTGAGCCACAGTGACAGACACGGAGGCGGTGGTGGAGCTGGGAGGACTGTCACTGGTGGACGCTTCTCCCTCTCCCTCCACTCGGCTCCCCACTGCAGGCTGAGGGATGCTGCCGTTGCTGTTACCCCCCAGGCTGCCCGTGCTGCCCCGGCGGTCCTCTGCTCCCTCGGGGTTGGAGCGAGTTCTAGGTCTCAGCTCCACCATTCGTTCCTCACCATCAGCTGGACCTGGCTCCGGGGTCTCCATGGATGCAGAAGTTTCTACAAGGCATAAGATTACAGATTATGGACACAATAGCTCACACATCACAATATAATATAATAACAAAGAGAAAAAAAAAATAAAGATACATTGTTTTGTCCAAAGTAGGGAAATCAGGGGTTAAAGGTGCATTAAGCAACTTTTCAGATGGAGGATCCACCACCTGCTTGTCTCCGTGAAGATGTTATGAACGCATTAGCTGTAATGTTATGACACAGTTGACATTAAACAGGAAACAAGCATGTGAAACAACAAGACCAGGTTACAGGACAGATCTGTGGAGAGGCGAATCTGCTCATACTGAAAATGCATGTTTTTAAAGATTTGTAATGAATTCCAGGTAATGTGCAGACTTATCACTCTATAGTACATATATAGTACATCCTTATTTGAAAGATTAAATATCAAGTTCACACTTCAAGGTGTATTTTTAATTGGGTCTTTTTGCAGCCTTTTGGACATTGTTTTATTATAGATTCTAAACTTGATATTTTAATAGTGAACTAATAATAATAATACATTTTTGTTATTAGTTGCCTTTCTGGACACTCAAGGTCGCCTTACAACAATGAACATAGACAAAGTTAAATACAATGGAAAAAACATACAGTTAAAAGCATAAAGGTAAAGTGAGACAGTGCAGCTCTGGTCTGCTGGTGTGGTGGAGTGAATAGACCAGTCTGAACAGGTGTGTTTTGAAATTGGATTGCGAAGGTCAGGAGGGAGAGTGCTCTAAAGCTGAGGAGCAGAGCGATTGAAGGCTCTGCTCCTCATAGTGACGAGACGGGCAGAGGGAACAGAGAGCTGGAGAGAGAAGGACGAGCGGAGGGAGCGGGTGGGTGTGGCAATGTGGAGGAGCTCAGAGAAAGATATGGAGGTGACAGGTTATGGAGGGCTTTGAATGACAGGAGCAGGATTTTGTACTGAAATGTGGTGTGAGATGGAAAGTCAGTGGAGCTGTTGTAGGATGGGTGTGATGTGGTTGATGGAGAGGTGCGTGTGATAATACCTCCCAAATCTTAGTTTATCTATAATCGTAAAACATAGGTTCACTGTAGTTACTTCCCTTCTGATTACAAGAACAATAGACCTACCCTTTGCTTTTGTTCTCTTAAATGTGTATTAGGGAAGCAATTAAAGGTCGAGCAATTACTGGTAAAGGTAAATGGAAAATAATAACGTTTGACTGCGTTAAATACACCAAAAATGAATATCCAAGTGAAACTGGGCTGTTCTCTTTAATACATGCAGCTTAGCTAACATTTTTAACGACATTAAGAAAAAAAAGAGTGCTTGCTGAAACGATCTCACTTTAAACCTATGCTTCACATAAAATCACATTTTTTAAAGATTTATTTGAAATGGTAGCATCTTGACTGTTCGTAGCAAGTGCAGTTTGATGACAGCGCGTTTAGCCCCTGAGCTATTCAGATGAGTCAAATATCATTCCGGCATAAATGTTAAACAGTAAGAAATACATAAGCAATTAAAGAAACTACTTACCTGACTAGAAATATGTCAAAAAGCGTTAAAATGCGACGAAAAGCGAATAAATCTAAGAGCAACACATTTGTTTTGAATCTGCTCGGACTACTTCCGTCAAGACACCGCTCTACTTCCTGTTAGAGGCGAAACACGGAAGCACTGTATTGTGGGTACTGTAGTTTACTTGAAAAGACGGTCTAGAGCACATTTTATTTGGTTTATTACTGTTTTAATGGTTTATTTATTTTTGAAAAGTGTGTATTGTAAATGTTTTTAGTATTTTATTGTAAGCTGAAAATGTGTAGGCTATTATCTAGGTTAATTTGAAGTTAAAACATATGTGACTACCAAATTAAATAAACAATTTTCAGTCTGGTAAGGGTTTTGTCACACTTGCAATGGCACACACTAACTTAATTGTCTGCATGTTTAAACTATTACGCAGCCTTACATTTTCTATTGATTGTTTGTGTGGAGCAGTGGCCCTTGGCTCAGGCTGCATAGTGTTCCAGTGAGAGGGTGTTAATAAAATGGAAGCTCAGTGTGGACAAAACAGGAAAAGGACACAGTCACAGGGAATGGGTGGAGATGACTTTCCACTTACTTCATTCATCGCATTAAGCTGTGTTAGCTCCGACATGTGGACCCTAAGCAGCAACAGGAATATTCGGAAAATATAACAACTGGGCCAACAAACACCACTCTGTAGACTAGAACTACTGTTACTGGAGCCCACTATGGAGGTAAGTTACGCATGCACCACACAGGATATCACAGATCTGCGGCACTTCATAGATGTTGTTGCTTGGCCGGGATAGTTCTAGGGTATGACATCAAACATAGCTATCTTCATGGAGACAAGCAGTAGCTACCAGGCCAAGTTACAGGTCAGATCTGCACACAGGTGACTCTCACAATAAGAATGCATGTTTTTAAAGTTGGTTTTGTTCAGTAATAATAGCAGCTATAATTGAAGAAATGCAAGACCAGTTTAAATTCATACTGAGGAATATTCAAAACCCTTAATGGAAACAAGCAGGTGGCGGACCCCTCACCAGAAAACTTACATAGTGCACCATTAAACAATACAAAGCCTAAATATAATTAAAGTTTTTATCTGATTTATGAAAAGTGAAATTTGTTTCATTATTTCATAGATTGGTGGAACATTTTTGTACCTGCCAAACAAAATAACATAACAAGCAAATACTCTGACAACATTTTGATATAACTGAATTTTGATATATTGAAAATACAATTTAAAGCCCATAATATTTCTATATCTACTATATTTTGCACATATTGTGGGTTTAAATGTAGTAATGGCTTCAATTATAAATAATATAAAAATTCTCACAAAGAATATTTTACACAGTAATCATTGACAACATTCCAGTCACAGGCCTTGGTTGTCACATATGTTCAGTGTATGAATGTTTTAAGTATTTAGCACACACATTTGAAACATATGAGAAGATGGCTGACCTACAAATATTCGCAAAACAGGAAGTTGGATCTCAGGATGTTTTAGTTTCCACCTTTTCCGCAAGAACAATAGCTTTTTAACTTTGGAGCTACAGCCAATGTCAAGCAAGACATGCAGGCGATACCACCAGGCACAGTTACAGGTCATATCTGTGAAGAGGCGAGCCCGGTCAAAGAAATAGTGCGATTTTTATTTTCAAGACATTTTTTAAGAATTTAAAACACCTGTAATTAAATAAATGCAAAATAGATAAATTTGATACCTCTGTGGAAAACTCCAGGCAGAGCAACAGTATCTCTATGAAGACAAACAAGTGGCAGATGCTCCACCAGAAAAGTTACACAATTCACCTTTAAATTAAACCATCTAAAGAGGGAATTACCCATGTTCTGTAGGGCTATAGATTAATTAATCAGTTGATGGTGCCAAAAATTTTATTATTGGTTTTCTGGTACTTTCTTGGCTTCCTGGTACTTTCTTCTGCATAAATAGTTGTTTTTGCATGAACTCGCATGCAGGTGTAGTCTTGTAAGTGAAATTTGGGTCAGATACACAGAGATACGTAACAGTTTTGAAAGCTGTTGCCACGCCCCCTTTTCAATCAACAAATTAATTGGCAGGACTTGTCTTTAGTTGACTACTGCCCTAAATTGCTCTGATTTCTGTACAGGAGTCAGTGCTGGTCCGCTGTGACAGTCTGGACACAGCGTCTCTGAGTGAGAGGGACTTGATGACTCCCGTTGAACACCTGTCGTACCACCCAGAGGCTCCTGACCCCGCCCTGGGCCCCGAGCCGACCCCCGCGGAGCTCGCCCAGTGTGAGGCCGAGGTGGGCACCCTCCTCAGCATCATCGCAGAACTCAACAAAAAAATGGGCTCTCTCAAGGCTCCAAGGTAAACGCACCACTGACTGATAAGGGTTTTCATGACAGAGAGCAATTGTTACTGGGCTGTAACAATATCCAAGTCTCATAATAGGATATTGTCACAGTATGAACCTCACGGCATGATATTTATTGTGATATCATGGGTAAGCTCACGATATGGTGGGGAGGCTCACGATTAGGAATGTAACAACATCCAAATCTCTCAGTACGATATTTTCACGATATACATCTCACAGTATGATATTTATTGTGATATTTTGTGGAGACTAAATAGCTAAAACTGTGAATAAGCAACTTTTTCCTCTTAAAATGCCTTGACAAGACTTAATCCAAAGAACTAAGACTTAAAACTGCTTAGACCTGTTATTTTTCCTTGTAGTCTGCACTGAAATGGAGCAAAGGATCATGGTCTATGTAGTTCCCTCTGTGTTTTTTTAGCTGTTGCTGCACCAAAACTCTTAATTTAAGCAAAGAGACTTATAACTCGATATACTGTGATGGTCCACGATATTACTGTGAGAACTCTGACGATACGATATCACGATTTTTCGGTTATTGTTACATCCCTAAATGTTACTACAACTATTTATGCTCATTTAGGTGTTTGATTTTCAACAAAAAAGGTGAGAATGATTGAAAAATGGTTGGCTAATGGGGTGTAGTAATTCTGTAATAATGGTTTATCTTGGTGGGCCCACAGTTCATGTTGTCTAATGAAAACGCACCTAACAGACTTTCTAATCTTGTTCCTTTTCAGTGATCCTGGTGAACTGAGATCATCAGCCGCTTCCAGGCCTTTGGTTCCAGATCTTTTATCTCACAGACTCAAAAACCCAGAGAGGAAAACTGTGGAGACTGCTCTATCTAAACCTACGATAATGGACAGAGGTAAGGACAAGGCACTAGCTGTCAATATAAGATTCATATTTACCAAAGTAAGTCCTTTTGGATTCACTGCAAACAGGTTTCAGTCATAGTGTCATTTCACTTTATATTGGTCAACTGTCTTCAGAGAAATAACTTGTTGTTTTTTTATATCTATGAACTCAAAATAGAGGTAATGTTTATGAAAGATTCAAATAATATGTACCACTGTACCACCACAACCTAATTATTAAATTATAATATATATTATTTATAATATTATATATATTATAAATGAATAACCTGTTCTGTTTTTGTACTTGCTATGTCTGTCCATTAGGGGGCGGAGGCATTGTATGGTCCAAACTGCAGGATGTGTTGTCTTCAGTGGAGGACTCGATCAGCTTCAGGAGGTCCTGGGCTGCTCCCATCGCAGCAGTTGACCTGAACAAACACAAGGAACATCTGAGAGCAGCACACGAGAGTTCTGCCAAGGCCAGACAGGTACAGATAGGTACAGACAGGTGCGGACATACAGCTATAGAGAGGTACAGACAGGTGCAAACAGACAGGTACAGATAGGTACAGACAGGTGCAGACCGGTACAGACGGACAGGTACAGACAGACAGACAGGTACAAACAGACAGACAGGTACAAACAGACAGACAGGTACAAACAGACAGACAGGTACAGAAAGCCAGGTACAGACAGCCAGCAGGTACATCTGTATAATGATAACCTCATAGCTCAACCTCAACCTAAAGACTTTTTCAAGATTTTCATGAAAGTGGATAAAAAGCATTTTTTCCATCGAGTGGTTGATTTTTTTTATTCTACTGTAATGGTGAGTTATGTTAGAGTTGCCAATCTGTATAGTTTATATAGCCATACTCAAACTTTTGTTAAATCAAAAAAAGCACAGACATCTTTCAATCCTCAAATGCACAAAGGACTTCCATTTGGAAGTTCATCAAAAACTTATTTTGCAAAGTTTCTCATAAAATAAGGGGATATTAAGCAGAACTAACCACACTCTCTGCTAGTAGATTTTGGAGGACATGGAGAGAGAATTCGGAATTTCCTGCACCACAGTTTTCCAGGACGAGGTTTCTGAAGTGGACAAGCGTGACTTCACGTTCAGTGCTCTTCAAAGCCAACAGGGGGAGCTAGAGAGAGCACGCAGCATCAGCCTGATAGACGAGGACAGAGACAAGGTGGGTTTGAAAAATGGGTCGAACAAAACAACACACTTCACCAAATACTTAAAACATAATGAAAACACACTGTCAGTGTCCCAAAAATATTAAAAGTAACTTTTCTGGAGAGCATGTCAGCTTTTTAATGCACTGGACTTACATAGCTCTTTTTAAGACACCCAAAGCTTATTACAGTGCATTATCTATTCACTTAGTATTCAGTAGTGGTAAGCAACTACTGAAGTCACAGCAAATCAAACCTTGCATGTTTCAGTTACCTCTTCTCCTCCTTTCTTGTAGCTGGTAAACCTGCACAGAGCCTGGAGGTCTGGCAGGCACTCCCCTTCCTACAGGCCCAGTGCGATGTCGTGTGCTGGGTCAGTCAGTCCAGACTGGGCCTCTCCTCCGTACCCCGGGTCCCCTCTGCTCCAGCGCAGGACCACCCGAGGACCACCCCCTCTGCCTGGGCCTGGGGACCTGTCTCCTCTCGGTTCTGGGACATCCAACAGTCCATGTACCAGCCCCATAGGCCCAGAAGTGGAGATTGAGAGACTCAACAGGTGAGAGAAAGGCTGAAAGATTTGGAACAAATAACTAATTGTGATGTTGCTGACAAGCTATTATGGATATATTTGTGATTTTTGTTTTAATAAAAGGATAAGACTCAGATTTCAGAACATAGTTTTACAGATCTACACTACAGGGTGAGCAGTTTTTATGCAGAATAAGACTGGATAGGAAATTGCATGCAATCAAATTGCAATTTAGATTTTTTAGATTAATTTCAATTAATACATGATTTTAACGCAATAAAATCACCTATAATGAGGTACATATCTTTATTTCAGCAAATTTTTGGCAAAATTATTATGCAGTAGGTCTTTAAAGGCATGGTACCTGAATTTTACTGTCTTAAAAACATGAAAAACAGAACTGTTTGCAGTGGTCCAAAGTTATTCCTCACTTACATTATGCATTCTAAGCATCCAAATTGTTTCACAACTTTCCGAGACCAGAGTGGAGTTTAGCCGTCATGGTAAAGCTAACAACAACTACCATGCTACAACAGTGCACTACCTGATTATCAAACAATAAAATGGTTTAGAATCAGATGCAGACAGTACACAGTGGACTTATTTTTATCTCAAGAGCTGCTTCTACAATATTTCTGTACTGAAGAATAACAAATTTTGCTCAAATACATAGGGAAAAAAGCGGTACAGGGTCTTTAATTATATTACGCAAAATATACTCTTAAGTCATGTTATAATGGGTTGAAATTATCCAAATGATTTTAGTGAAGGTATATGGAGTTTAAAAGTACAGTAGAGCACTTCCTGTATTACCACAGAACATCACAAGGTGGAACAAAGTGTTTCCAGTGTTTGTGTGCTTAACATGTGTGAATGAACCAAAACACAACTCCACTTATATTTGTGATGAGGAAACAACATAATAACATAAATCAGAAAATAGCACACTACAGGCAGTTCACAAAGGCATTATAATGACAGAAATGCTAAACATTGTTTCATTTGGCTTATTAAAAGGCTTTGGACACAACAGCCTTGAAACGTGCCAGGGTTTATCAGTAACTGTACAACAGTGAGACCAAGTCCTTCAAAACATTTCTATCAGATCTAAACTCCAAACTAGATTCTTTTTTATCTTACATAAAGGGTTCAGGGTTATACATTCATTCCACACCAAATGGTCCCAACTCTTTCATAATCACTGGATGCCAACTACTTTTCAAAGTGCAGAACTCACACTGCAGAATAGTGAAGGAGGAGGCCTTGGTTTTGATTGGCTCTCATCTCTTTATGTCTTATCTTGTCGTACACTGCAATTAGAGTAAATGGTAGCACAGTTGAATTTGCGTATTGCTTTTCAACTTGCAAGTACTTGAAATGTTTTGTTTCAAGCCTTCCTTCATTCACCTATTCACAAACAGAAGTGCTCTCACGTTCGAAAAGAGGCTGCTGCCAACACTGGGTTAATTATTGACGCTGGGAATGTTTTTAATCCAAGTGAAAAACCACACAGATTTAAAATGGCCTATTTGAAATGTGATGTGGAGTAGTGTTGTCACGATACAAAAAATTTCAAACTTGATTTCGTTACTAAGAAATATCAATACTCAATACCAATAATAAAAAACTCTGTCTACAGTCAACATAAAATCGAAGTTTTTTCTTTTATATTCTCATGTGCTTATATCATATACATATATCTTATATCTCTGTAATTTCTCAGTGGTCCATGGGCATATATTAGTCTATGCGCTCTTATATGTGTTCTGATACAGCTCTACATCATTCTAAAGCCTCAGGAAAGGTTCATTTCTGTCCTGTGAATGTGACTTTTTACTGTCGAAACCAGCTCAGATTAATATCTAGTTTTGATACTAGTTTTAAAATGGATCTGTATCTGATTTTTGATACTTTTCAGAACCCTACTGTGTGACATGTCTTACGATGCCATATATCATTTACAGTGGTTTCTATGGTTACAATACTAAACAATAAGGTATAAGGTAGTAGAAACAGTGCCTTGTCTATAAACGTGTTTTGCAGGATAAAACGTTTCACGCATTTTCCAAATCTAAAGCTCCCGGTCCTAAAATCCATTGTGTTGTTGCAGTGGGGTGGTAAAAAGCTGTGATTGCTCTATTTTCAGCTGTTTTATAAGGTCAAACCACCTTGAAATGCCAGATCTCCTCTGAACTCAAAAGCTAAGCAGGGTGGGGCCTGGCGGGTTCTTGGATGGGAGACCAATGGGAAAACTGGGAGCCACAGTGAGGCAGCAGTTGCTCTGGAAAATAATGTCATTGTGTTCACGAGCAAGACACTTCACCCACCTTTCCTAGTATGAAATGTGTGTGGTGTTGCTAAATGTTTCCACTTTCCAAAATGTACTTTAACTGTTACTGTAACTGTAACATTAAAAATAAAGTGATGGAAAGGCTGTTCTTGGTGTGTCTGTGTGTGTATGCGGGTGTGTGAGGGTCTGACTTGGCTTTTCTATGTGTCTGGTGTATTTCCTCTGTGCACTTCGGTTTCCTCCCATCGACTCAAAACATGCCCAATAGATCAAATCCTCCAGCTAAGGTAGTCCTGACCAAGACTAGCTCAGAAATAGGGCAAATATAATTGGACTACTCTTCCAATTGGTCAGTCTTAGCAAGAGTCTGAGTGAGAGCTGGTTTTAAGCAAATACAAGCAAAGTATGAAGCTGAAAAATTGTATTTATTTTCATGACTTTTACTGTTTTATTTCCTTGTATTTTTGCTTTTTTAAAATTTAACTTGTTTTATTGTTTTAATGAGGTCTAGTGGGGGTGAAGAGAGCTTTATTTTATATTCCCAGTGTATTATTTTCTGTATGGTGCAGCACTTTGGAATTTGTTTTGTTAATGAAATGTGTTATATAAATAAAGTGGATTAGATTGGATGATTTTAGTCACATATGCAAGGCAATATACTGAGGACACATGAATCGTGATAAAACTGGAACTGTGATCTGACTCCAAGAAAATCATTATATTAAATTTTTTGGGATATCGGCCATACCTACATTGAAGAATGGGTTAAATGCAGTAGACAAATTTCCCTGGGGACAATGAAGTGTACCTTATATCTTAATAATGCAATATAAGCATCTTTGATTGTCTAAAAAAAAAGGTGCTTGAATAACTGACACATTTCTATTCTATAGCATGTTTAACTTACTTACACTCACAGTTATAATCCAGCTCTATTCTCTGTTTGTTTGTCACAGGCTTATTGAGCGTCTGAAGAGCAGAAATGAGCGTCTGTCTTTGGCCTTGGAGCGAAGGAAGAGTGAAGCGGAGCACATGAGCCTCACATTAAACAGACTGGAGTCAGACTGCTCTGCTCTACAGCTGGCCCTAAGATACTGGTGACATCACACACACCTGCACCACAGAGACCTGTCCACTCTGACCCTGATCTGTGCTTTACGACTCCCTGCTCCACTGTTAAAAAGACCTGTTTAAACTCTACAAAAATAAACTTTATACTATCCTCTTCTGTCAGGCTATTTCTCAGACACTGATGAATCATATATGAATACGCCCTAACACTACTATCTATTATTTCTGGAATTTTTTTCAACTGTTGCATTGATTGTTTTCATTCTAAGGGTGGAAGTGGAACTTTTAGAGGCCCACTGAAATTATATATTTTATTTTATTTTAATATTTATTTTTAATCTCTGATCTGTGTTGTAATGATGTTCTCTGTCCTCATCAAAAACATATATTATTCTTTCAAACTGAAAATGCTGTTCCACCTTGTGATGTCATGTAATAATACAGGAAGTACTCCACTGTGTTTTTAAACTCCATACACCTTCAACAGAATCATTTGGATAATTTCAGCCCTGAAACTTAGACTTAGCCTTAGACAAACTTTAATGATCCACAAGAGAAATTATTTGGACACAGTAGCTCGCATAACACAAGGAGCTACTGAACCTTGCTGCCATTCTCTAAAATAAAATTACAAAAGCTACCCTATCAACTTGAAAACTACCACTACATGACATCACAAGGTGGAACAGAACATTTTGAGCTTTAAAGATGTAAAAAGGGTTACTCAAACATGCGTGGATGAAAAAAACAAAAAAACTCTACATATGTTTTTGGTGAGACAAAGAGTCCAACATGACTTAAAGCTCATAAGAGTCAATTTTGCAAAATATACGACCTATAATGATGTACTGTGTAACTTTTCTGGTGGAGGGTCCATTATCTCCTCCGCTCCATGGAGATTGTTGCTTTGTCCAGAATCCACCACACTATAGCATTAAGCGTATCTATTTCCATGGAGACAAAAAAGTGACCCTGCTCATGATTTTTAAGCACTAAAAACACCTGTAACTGAATAAATGCAAGATGGATAAGTTTAATGCTACTGTGGAACACTTCAGGCAAAGCAATAACATCCCGATGGAAAAAAATCTGATGACAGACCCTCCACCACAAAAGTTACACAATACAACGTTATAGGTCCTATTTGGCGGAAAATTGATTCTTGTGAGCTTTAAGTCATGTTACAATCTTGTGACCTCCTCAAAACAGACCTGAGGTTGTGTTTTGTTTCATTCACACATGTTTGAGTAACACTTTATTATTAGTCTGTCAGAAAATAGTTTTATATGGGTCCTTTAAGCAATAACATCTCCATGGGAAAAATCAGACGATAGACCCTCCACCAAAAAAGTTACACAATGCCCCTGTAGAAACCAAATGATTTTAAAAGCAGCACATGTGAAAGAGCCTAACATTTGACCCCTGCGCTCTGCCTTTGGTCTGATTGACAGTGAGGAGTGTGAGGAGGCCTACGCAGAGCTGCTGTCACTTTACGAGGTTAAGACTCACCAAAGCATTCCTGACGGGACGGGCGCAGCAGGTGGGCGGATTCCGGGTTTTACTGTGGATTTGGGAATGCAGTTCAGACGCACAAACATTTACCCTGATTTTTCCGCTGCCATTAGAAGAAGCTGGCCACGCTCCAAATGATCTGCTTGACACGGAGGAGCTGTGCACGTCTTTCTCAACTGCAGGGGGTGCCGTGGAGGAGATACAAATACAGAGGTGATTTCAGTACAGTAGAGCTCAGGTTCATAAAGTCATTACAGTGAATCATCATGTAAACTGTTTTCCATGAGAAAATTCTAAAGTTAGTTTTGTTTCATGTGGTTAGGCCAAGTAATTACAGATATTAACCACAAACCATCCTAAGGCATGTTAACAACTATTACACAATTCACATTATAACCTGTCACTATCTTAGTTTTAACTTGTCAGTCCACACATAACACCTATTGGTGGTTTTCAGATTCAAGAATGTGACGATGTCATACTCCCAAAAAGTAGAAAGAGCCAGTATTTTGTCATGAAATATACAAAAGATAATTCACAAATGTGTGAAAATGTGAACCTGATAATTTCTATTATGGAATAGACCGTATAACACAACAAAAATCTGTATTTTAACAACTAGTATCGCAGATACTTAAAGCCATAGTATCGGAATCGGTATCGGAACTGAAAAAGCTGGATCAATGCATCCCTATTAACAAGAGTAATTTTAGCTGGCTCCATCTGCATTAAATATTATGGGTCTATAAGATATTATTCATCTGAAACACAGTAATTAAACAAAGTTGTCCACAGTCAGTAATGCTTCGTTCACTGTTCACTGAAGGGAGACAGCACTTGTTGAGCTGATGTTCACTATTCACCCCCTAACCCAGGGTAGTTCGATTCTCGCTCCCATCAGGGCATAATGTCTTTGTATCTTTGGGCAAAACACTTACGTATGGTGGAGAATAAAAAACACTAATGTGACCCTTTATATTTTTTTACTAACAGGAAGACAACAACATGCTTTAAGTAATCTAATGTATACTAAAACTGTGTTGAATTTAGAGCTGAGTACCTTTCAGTATTAGAGCTTAGCACCTGAATGATACTTCTTTTGGTACTTGTGTGTTTTAATTACTAAATACAATGACAACAATTTGAACAATATGCAAACTTTTTAATGTTTGGTGACGATGCCTAGAAACCTCTTGTGCCTCCGGGACCAACCAGACGTTAAAATTTGAAAGACTTGAAAGAAAAACAAATTACAGAATTTTTGGTACCTACATTTTTTTTGGTGTTTCTTTATAGTACTGGTAACTTTTAACAGTCCCAAGCCCTGGACTGCCCTCATTAGGGGCTTGGTCCTGACAGAATGCAGACCTCCTTTCTAAAACCACATACATATTTGTGAACGTATTGCCATGTGTATACAAGCTCTAATTGTAATCAGGCTTTGACACACTTCATGTAATTTTAAAGGACACCTGAGGAGGAGCGCGAGGTTGGTCTGCGTCAGCACATCGAGCGTTTGAAGAGAGAGCGTGCAGCCATTTGCCTCCCCAAAGCAGGAGCGGCCCAGTGCAAGATGATCCCTGACAGCGGCCCAACCCCGGGGTCACGAACCGGACACGCCAGCAGAGACAGGGCCAGTGACACCAAGAAGGAGAAGGCTTCCCTCTTCTATGAGCTCATCTCTGTCAGGGTGAGAGCTGCACTTACTCCTAAGTCTGACTCCTGCTCTTATTCAAGCCACGATCAGCTAAAGAAACAATTGTGGAGGAAATTCACACCACATCAAAGATTCTGAATTCTGTCTTCTTAAAAAATCCCAAAATACTATGGCAGGGGTCTAAACTATAGCCTCAGGCCTTATGAATTTGCTTAATTTAGGTTTAGTTGAATTCTACCTCAATATAACCTCAATAACATCACATTACGTTACATTGTGATTAGTGATAGTCAGATTATTCTGCAAAAGTAATCGGATTACTCAATACTGATTACTGCTTCTAAAAGTAATTTAATTACTACTCTTATTACTTTATTTCAAAAGTAATTAGATTACTGATCACTATAAGTTACTTTGAAAAAAGGAAACAAGCAGCTCTGGAAACCAATTATAAAAAGCACGAACTCTTCACTCTAATGACACTTTCTGTTACCGAGAATAATGTGAAGCAGAGACGACCTGCACTTAAACCAATATTTGTTGTTTTGTTCCACATCTGATCTGCCAAAGGACATCCTGTGCTCCTGTTTTTCTTTTTACTGTTTTACCAAACAGTTCTAATGGATAACACATTACATTACTGCATTATTAAAAAGTAATCTGATTGCAGTAATCCCCTACTTTGTAACTAGTTACTGCCCAACACTGATTGTGACAAAGGCCTTAAATGTTTCAAGCCTTATTAAAGATCTAGCAGCTCTACAAAACTATGTGAAATGCACCATGTGAATGGCTCATTGTATTGACCATGGGTCTTCTGCTTGCTCTGCTTTGATTTAATATGTGGCTCTAAGTAGGACCCCTGAACTATGGATATACTGTATATTAAAGGTGCACTATGTAGATGATGGAGGGTCGGTCACCTGCTTCACATTACTGTTCTGCCTGAAATACATGTCCCACAACACAGCATCAAAATCTATATTGGATTTATTCAATTACAGTCATTTTTATGGCTAAAAAAACACAAATTGTGAGTGGGGTCTCCTCTCCTGACCTGTAATTTGACCTGCTGGTGTCACATGTATCCAAGGCAATGAATATGTGGATGGATAGACAATAACATCTTTCTGGAGAGAAGCTGGTTGCATAAAACACATTTAGACAAGTAAACTCATTTGAGAAATAAAAATTACACAGTGAAGCTTTAATTTAAACACAGCCTTTTTCCTTGTGTCATGATTAGGAGGAGATGTCTGACCTGCGCGCTCTGATTCGCCTTAAAGAGAAGGAGCTGCGCTGTATCGAGTGGAGTCTGATGGCCCAGAAAACACCGGACGCAGCTGGAGCTTTCATCCCAGAGAGAGAGGAGCCAGAGGAGCACAAGAGCCAGCAACAGGTGACAAAGTTTTATTAAAATCTTCGAAGAATAAAAAGTCAAGGTGAAGTGTGCGTTTGGGAGCGAGATGATGGTCTATTGTGACAGATTCAAATGTGTCTGTGCCTCATGGGAAATCACACTAAAGCAGGATCCCTTCAGGGTAATGGGATATTTCAGTTTCACAAGGTCTTCTCCTGAGCTGACCTCTCACTGCAGAAGAAATGCTTTTAATGGATTTATATCAAATACCTCATATTAGACAAGGACAAAGACCTGGGCGTAACGTTATATACTAGAGAAGTGTATTGTTAATATTGAAAGTTCAGGTTCAATGCTGCATCTAACTTTGTCAATGTGATATTTTTGGCAATGTTACCCAGATTTAAATCTGGAGTATCTGATTTTGAGAAAGCCAATCCTCTCTCATACTAAAATGTAACAGCAACATATCAGATTCTTTCTTACAGGTTTGATCAAATGTTTTAGTTTACGGTTTATTTGAAGGGACAATGTATAGAGACTTTAAGATAATAAAAAACAGGCAGGTTCTGCACCAGATTGTAGCTAAATAGTCAGCTTTTATCAAGCAGTATGTGCAGCTGTCACTACAGTACTGTTGCTTTTAAAGAAACACTTTTTAAACTTACTCTTCATACAGAGGGAATAGGGATGGAAAGAGACACAATTTTTGCAAGATGAGACACACCACGACATAATTTGTAATAAATAAGTGGTGCAATCATTTCACCATATTGACGTCATTTATTAATACTTATTTTACTTACTATACTATGTCACTGTAGTACGGCTTTTTGGAACTGCAGCTTCTCAAATTGTATAACTCACCAGCTCTTAACTCTTTTTTTTTGTCCAAGCCAAATGTAAAGAATCTCACGAGGTTATTTTTTTTTCATGTGTGCACAATCTTGTCGCAATTTTTTCTTGCAAGATCATGTGACACCAGATCTTGTTTCATCCCTAGTAGTGAAGTTTTAAGAATTGCAATGTACCTTGTGCTGACACTGGAGCATTCAAGATTAGAGATGGGAGATACAGTATATTGAAAAATGTATAATATTGCAATTGTTGTTTTGGAGTCTCTGGAGACAGTTTCCAACCATATAAGATTATTACGGTCATTTTTTACCAAAACATTTACATTTACATTTATATTAGCACAGCTTTCATGAACTGCTTTAACAGGAGTGGGACAGGACTAAAAAAAGACACAAAAAAAATGAGCGAAAAGATATTCCCTTTTTCAATAACGCCAGATGCCCAGCCCGATTCAATATTGTTTTTACCTTAATTATCCTGTTTTCCCTTTCCTGTAGAGGCTGTGTGAGGTGGCAGCTAAACTGGGCCCTGACGGGGACCTCTCCAGACCCATCCTCAAGGAGCTGCAGGCCGTTCTTCACAGGTAAAACTGGTTCTGCATATTAACAAACATTACAGCCAGATATGTTTAAAGCCATACTGTGGAACATTCATGGAAAAGCAATTACATCTGACAGAAAAGTGCAGAATTAAATGGTTTATGTTATACTATTATCTGATCTATGTTCTAATGTTGTGTCCTCCTCAACAACACACCTGGAGTTGTGTTTTGTTTCATTCATACATGTTTAACACACAAACCCTGCATATTTAGAGTACTTCCTGTCATACAGAAAACACTCCACCTTGTGATGTCATATGGTAATACAGGATCTAATACCCATCTCTAATGGTAAAATGAGCTGTTAACTTAAAACCTACCACTACAAGGTGGAACAGAACAGCAGATGTAGATAATAATAAATAAAGGATTACTCAAACATGTGTGAATGAAAAAACAACACAATTCCAGGTACATTTTTTTGATTCAGTAACAACATTATAACATGGCTTAAAGCGCACAAAAATCCATTTTGTGCAGTATAGGTCCTCTAAGCACAGTCAAAGTAAACAAGTATTTCCATCACTGCCAAAGGTTGAGAAGTTCATCTATCAGACTAACTATGTGTCCATTCAAAAGTGCAGAATGCGGCCAGTCTCCGTTGCCTGGTTTTGATCTGTTGCTTAGAAACACAGTGCACAAGGCCTAGTTTTCCTATACATTCTGCGTGGACACTCTTCTATCCTCCGACCTTGAGATGTGAATGCTCTACGTGTCACTTTAACCAGAGCTGTGTAATTGCTTAAAAATGGCGTGTTTTTCACAGAAGAGACCAAGACTAATGCATGTGGACTGAAAGAGAGCATTGATTGCTTACTATTGTCTGTGGAACAGGCCTTAAAAAAGACTGGCCTTAGTTTAGAATTAAATGAACACAGCTTTATGTCTTTACAACATAATTACAGTTAAAAGGCCCTATACCTGATTTTTTCCTCCATCTTTTTCATCAAATGTGTCTTGTCCCAGTAAAGGGGTATTGTATATGCAGCTCTTGAGGTTAAAATCACAGTTTGTTGTGTACTGCCTGCATGTAATTAGAAAGCATTTTACTGTCCGATAATCAGGAAGTACATAGTTAGCATGCTAGTTGTTGTTTGCATAGCATTACCGTGTTGTCCAAACTCTGCTCTGGTCTCTGAAAGTTGTGCAGAGCCACTTGTAAACTCATTGAGGACGAAAAAATTATTAGGATGCTCTGAATGCATAAGGTAAGTGAGGAATAACTTTGAACCACTGTACAAACTGTTTAAAATGAACTAATTCTGTTTTTTTGCATTTTTAAATAATAATAATAATAAAAATCAGGTACAGCACCTTTAACTTTATTGTTTACTATTTTCTAGGGAACAGGCCTTAAAGAAAAGACTGGCTTTAGTTCAAGATTCAATGAACACAGCTTTACCAGACAGCAGCCCTCAGAGGAGAGACAGTGGAGAGGTGGCACGGCTCACCCAGGCTCACAGGTACATATGGTCACCTTTAAATACACATTTAATAGCCTTAAAGGGCCCATATGATGTTATTTCCTGATCTACTTGTACTGTATGGTATAATGTTGTTTCCTCATCACAAAGATTGCACATGTTTAACACACAAATCCTGCAAATTTAGGCTGTGTTCTTCTCTCAAACTGAAAACACCTTGTGATGTCATGTGGTAATACAGAAAGTGCTCCACTGTGTTTTCCAACTCCACTAGTCATTCAGTTAATTTTAGCTCTGGAATTGCCAGTCTCTACAGAACATAAGGTTATAAGAACATAAACAGATGTTAACTTGAAAAGTATCACTTCACATCAAATGGTGGAACAGAGCATTTTTAGCTTTGGAGACACAGACTAATAATAAAGGATAACTGAAACATGTGTGAATGAAACATGTGTGAATGAAAGTTAACAACCCTATAAAATCTCACAGGAGTCAATTTTGCGTTACATAGGACCTTTAACAAAGCATAGCAGTTTAGATCTGTATAAGGATGATCTGAAATCTGATTCTTGTATTAGTTTGTGACTTCATATTTCAGTCTTTTTGTCAATTCTTGAGTTTAAAAAAATAACTTTGAACAGAATCCTATTTTTAAAACATATATTGCAAGCCTTATTTCAATGCTTGCATCCTGCATTTTTCCTGTGCATCTTCAGGCATCAGTGCAGCAAGAATCTGAAAGAATCTGAACTGCACATTCAGGCGTCGACGCTCTGGAACCGCGTCCAGGGCTTCGGCGTCATCAGTTGAAAAAGCTCAAGTTTTGGCATCGGGCGTGCTGCATCAACTAATCAGGGACAACTATCCAGTGACATAGCATTGTTATTACCTGGAAGAAGGAGAAGAAAGAGAAAGACCTGGGAGCCACAAACACCAGAATGTAGTATCATTAGTGGAGTAACAATATATTTACATCGTGACTGGCGAGCTGATCACCTCCGCTGATGTGTTTAACGTAATGAATACACTAAAGCCACTCTCTCAACTGAGAAAACAAGGCACACATAGACCACAGCAGAGGAAAACAATTTTTCTCCCGTTTCTCCATGGTGTCCAAGATGTGCATCGGGGGCATCTAAACTCAAATGTAAAGGCGTCCAGCTAGAGGCGTCCAGTGCGTTTTCTAACAGCGCAGTCTAAATGCAGCTTTAGTGGTGAGAACATTCAGCCACAAACCTGAAGGTCATTGGATAGTTACATAGATAACAGCTCTAACTTGTACATACAGGTGTTATGCCCTTGAGCAAGACATTCCCCCAACAAACTGAAAATAGGTCAATCCCCTGGCTAAACCCTCTTTTCCAGCAGCACTGTTCACTCGGGGCTGCCTTGGTGTGGGTCTGTTTGGTGTGGTTTCCCGCTCATTTGAGATTTGATTCACAATACCTCAAATGTAGTTCACCGGTTTACATGGGTTTTAATAAATCAGATTAAATTGATCTAAGCCAGTTATCCGTAGTCATGGTAAGTTGCATGTACAGATTACTTTCAAAAGCTAGTTCTTCATACTTCACAAATCCAAAGCTCTTGTACCAGTGCGTAAATAATATATATATGCCTCTTACAGTAAAGCTCTGAGCTCGTACCGTCAGATCCGGAGGAAGTACAGGGAGCATGTGTGGAGACTGGAGCAGAAGGTGGCGGCCATGATGGAGACCCAGCAGCAGCAACAGCAGCAGCAGCAGCAGCAGCAGCAGCAGCAGCAGCAGCAGCAGCAGCAGCAAAGCACCACTCAGCAGTTCTCATCACAGCAGAGCTCATCACAGCAGATCTCATCACAGCAGAGCGGGGCCAGTGCGATGTCAAACACTGTGGCTGGAGACAATGCAGACTGGAGAAGAGAGGAGACAGTGTTATAAATATTAGGGTGATAGGACTTGTCAAGATGTAATTTGGTCCCAGTGTCACTTTGGAACATCTGCTACTTTGGAACACCTGAGTCCTGGTATTTCATATAAGCTACTTCAGAATACTTTAAAGACATATTATGCTTTTGTCTGCTATATAGTTATAATATGACAAATCTTATTGGATGGATCTTTATTTAAAGGTGCACTGTGTAATTTTTCTTGAGGAGAGCCCACCAACTGTTACTGTTTTGCCTGGAATGTTCCACAGTAAAGCATTAAACTCATCTATCTTCATGAAGATGAGCAGAAACAAAACTAGGCCAAGATACAGGTCAGGTCTGTGGAGAGGAGTATCAGAGTAAGAATGGTACATGGTATTTTTGAGCAGTAAAAACATCATTAATGGAATAAATGCAAAATAGAGAAGTTTAATAGCGTACTGTGGAACATTATGAAACATTTTAGAGAAATGCTGTCTTAAATACAGGAGAATACAGATTACTCAAACATGCATGAATCATTCACATTACAAATTGAATGTGTAAATGAGAAGGGAAAAGAATTTGTTAAGGGCTCTTAAAATACAATTTTGCATAATGTCTCCCTTAAAATTTTTGTTTGTGTGGGAAAACAACCGGTTGATTATTTAGTCCTGAACATTTCTAGATTACCACCAAATGATGTCTTGAGGTGGGAGCGAGTGTTTCAAGCTCTTGAAAAGAAGACAGCTGTAAATGTGCTGGATCACTCAAACAATGGAACATGGAACAATATATCATGCTTTACTGCCTGTTTAGTTCTGCAAAAAATACAAAGTACAAATATTGTTTGTGTATAGTGTAAGTGAAAGTGAAAGTATTATAACAACAAAAGCACTTAGAATGTTTATGTACTTATTATATTGTAATTATAAAACATTAAGCTTGTATTGGCATAACTTTTTTCTTTTTTTATACCATGTTGTCAAATGCAGTATACACATTAAATAGATCCGGGTGATAACAGCAAAAAATGCACATTATTTTTTTCCTCATTGATTCACCTTAATTTTTCTATTAGATTGAAGGTTTTCTTAATAAGTAATATGGCTTTCAAAATGAATTTTATACACATTAACTCAACAGATTTAAATGAGTTGCCATTTAAATACCCTGTTTTTTCCCATGTATTTGAGAAAAATGTGTCTTGCAACTCTAGATTTACGCAGAAGTCAAAGTATGCTGCTTGCTGTCTACATCAAATTAGAAAGAGCTTTAAATGTCTGATAATCAGGAAGTGCATGTTAGCACGCAAGTTGTTAGCTTTACCTTCACAGCACCAGTCTCTGATAGTTGTAAAAAGCGCTTATAAACTCATCACAGTGAATAATTAAGATGCTCTGAGTGTATAAGGTACAAGAGGAATAACTTCGAACCACTGCAAATGGTTCATAGTTACGTTTTTTTTTATGTTTTTAAGATGGTGAGACTATATTATAAACTCAGAGTAGAATTGTGAGGTATAAATTGTAGAGCAGGACGTGAGGCTCACATCACACTTTGCTGGTCAGGCAGAAGCAGCTGTCATTGCCGACTGAAATGAGCCCTCCAGAGTGACCCCTGGTGCTTATGTCCTTATACCCAAACACAGAGCTCCAAAAGCCCCTATAGCTGGACGTGTTCTGGCCTCACAGCTCCAAACTGTGGGGGAGGGCCGGGACAATGGGAAACAAAACGCACAGGTCACAATATGTCCACGCTGCGCTTTTATGGGCTTTAGCTTAATATGCAAAACACATATATGACCAACGCACAGTTCAAATGGGCTTTTCTACAATAGTTTTACTTATAGCATTATTAAAGTTGTATTCTGATTTTTCAAAATACTACTTTCACAATAATTGTTTATGTTTTGCTCTATAATCACAGTTAAAAGGCCCTCTATCTGATTTTTTACAGAGCAAATGTGTCTTGCCCCAGGAAATTGTTGTACTGTATTATAAAAGCACTTCTTGAGGTCAAAATAAGTCTTCTGTGTACTGTCGGCAACTAATTATTGAGTGTTTTATTGTCTGACAAGCAGGAAGTGCACAGTTAGTATGCTAGTTATCATTAGCATTGGAAAGTTGTGAAAAGCACTTACAAACTCATGACAGTGAATAATTAGGATGCTTAGAATGCACAAGGTAAGTAAGGATTAATTTAAGATCACTGTAAACCATTTAAAATGAACTGGTTTTCTTTTTTCTTTAATTTTAAGAAGCTAAAACTAGTTAATGATAGATGTAGATACTATGTTTTAAGAGCGCTATATATTTTATATATTTTTTCCTCTTTTTTTTATAATACTCAGAACCAGATCTCTAGAATATGTTTTAAATCCTATATTAAAGTTCAAAGAAAATCAGCTCAGATTTCGAGGAATTGTTTGAGCCCTTTCCCGTCATCATCTTAACCTTTCCCCTATTATCAGCACATTATGTAATAAGCAGCTGTAAGTTGTGAGCCGCCCCGTGAAAACTACTGTGTAATTACAGCAAACTGGACTGAGGCTGTAAAGACATAAACTACTGTGTTAAAGCACCATTACAGACCCTTTGGTTTGGGGCTAGTGGCAAACGCATTTACAACTTCAGAGTGAGAATGAGACGATATTGAAATTCACTACTATCCTGACCAAAATAACAGTAAATAACACTTACATCACAATTAAAAATGTTAGGAATATCAATAATTATAATTATAATATTGTAAAAAGGCATGTTTGAAGAACTGTTACAGAAATGCATTTTGGTATAAAAAAAACAGCAACAATCTAGAAAAGAACATAATGCAGTAGTGTAGAGATTTTTCTGCACATCTGGTGATAAAATACAGATTATGTTTGGTGGGGATTATCACAATTACACAAAATGGTGACCAGGACACTCTTGCAAAAGAGATTTTTAATTAAGGGAACTTAATTAACTCAAATCAAGTAAGATTTTGATTTGAAGTTCCATAACCATGACCTAATGGCGTACCCAGAGATGAGGTAAACATGTTCAAACTAAATATAACTTTTACTGATAACAATTGGTCATTTATTCTTAATTACAAAAACATCTGACATGATTGTCCAGTCAGAAAGTAGAAGGAGTCTCACGTGAGTCTCTCATTTGTGTTGCCAGTTTCGATGCTGATATTCAGTTGGTTTAACCCTAAAAGGACTCTCTCTGGTCTGAATGGTCTCTACCTAAGCCCCAGCACTAGCAGCCAATCAGTGCTTCTGCAATGTGTACTTCATCTGCAGGTTAAGGCTCTGGCAACCCATGTTCAGCTGTGATTGTGATGTATTTTTTAAAACTGTAAGAGTGCAGGCTACACACAATAAATAAATGAAAGTATTTCAATTGAGCTGTCAAAAGAGTCTGAAAGAGCCCAGTGCAGCTGTCTCTGAAGGTAAACCACATTGGGTTTATTTGTCTCTGAATAAAAGCGCTTTCCCAAAACAAATCTAACAATTTGACACATTTGGCTTTTGCTCTGACCCTGTTGGGCTGCGTCATCATTTCTGTCTCCATCTCCTCTCTCGTCTCTATCCCCCCTGACCCCTGACCCCCCTGACCCCCCTCGTCCTGGACCGGTCCTCTGCAGCTGGGAGCGGTCAGGAGGTTGGGGCAAAGGTGCAGAGTCAGTCACATGGGTCACAGTTAGCGCGCTGTTGTATTCGCTGCTGAATGGAGACGAGCCCCAGACGAGCTGCTCCGACCCCTGCCTCGCTCTGACCTTTCCCGGGCAGAGGTCACAGAGAAGAGGCCCTCGCAGCGACCCCGGGGTCACCCCCCCTATTGTTATAACAGAGCCCATTAGAGCACATGATACAATTATCATTCCATCTTTGCTCAGATCTGTGTTAAGCCTCAGACTTCATCAAAGCATTTTCAACTACACGACTGGGGTAACCTTTGAGTGACTCCTAACATCTGCATTATACTAAACATGTTTCCTCCCACCAGCTCACACCCCACGAGAAACACTATGATCTTAAAGCTACTATATTACGCAAAATAGACTCGTGAGTGTTAAGCCATGTTAGAATCTTGTGACTTCATAAAAAATATATCTGGAGTTGTGTTTTGTTTCATTCACACATGTTTGAGTAATCCTTCATTATTAGTTTGTCTTCATCTCCAAAGCTCAAAATGCTCTGCTCCACCTTGTGATTCAAATTAACAGCTACTGTTTACCTTTTGTTCATTAGAGATGGGCATTTCCAGGGCTGAAATTATCCAAATGATTCTAATGTATGAATGAAACAAAACACAACTCCATGTTTTTAATGAGAAAACAACATTATAATTATAGATCAGAAAATAGTGTAATATGGGCCCTTTAAGTAAAATTGAACTTCATAGATTGAAATATGAAGACTGAAATCACTAAAACTTTAATGATTTAAAAAAGACATATTAAACTAAATATATTTTTATGAGGTTTTAACCATAGTGAGTTTCATCAACACTTAAAGTAACATCTCTACTGATTCCTGTATGGTTAAGTAATCTTGTATTTATTGTCCTGCATTTAAGGTTTAAGTTCTAAAAAGAGTAACTATATACCTACTCCCTATCTTTATTTGAAGATTTAAGAATTATACACATAGGGTTTTCAATGAACAAAACACAAAATAATGATCTGTGTATACTATAGTTCAGTAGTAACATGAGAATGAGGCCACTGTTAATTACCAGGCGTGCATCACATCTGTACAAATGAACACTGAGTGATACTTGCAGTGACATCACGTTGGGGGTTTTCTCCATGTATATGTATTGGTGGAATGTTCACCTGTTACCATGGTGACACAATGCACACAGCAAACACTGCCCAAAAAGTGTTGGTGGTCTGAAAAGTCACAAAAAATACAAAATGGATTTAAACAGCACATTTTCAGGAGACTGTGATCAATACAAGCATTCATGGTCCTTCATGGTCCTTTGGTTTTCAACAAAAAGGTGAGAGTGACTAACTGAAAAACTGTTGGGTAATGCTGGCTCATGTGTGACTGTAATGTTATTTGAGAAGGACTTGTTTAACAGCAAATCAGCTCACCCTTTTAGTTCCAACTAAGTCAGTTCTTTATGGTCAGACTGTGTTCAAATAAAGGTCAGATTAAAGTCTAAAATGAGTAACAGAGCTTCAACTTTATACTCACACCCCCAGGGAAAAGGGGTGTAATAAATTATTCACGATTTAGAAAGTAGTAAATTGCCGTAGTAATTATCTATAAAAACAACAACATCTCTCAATAACAGGGTTTTAAGTTCAAAGTTCCTTAGTAGTGTCTAGGTACGAATAGAGAGAAGGGTGTAGTTGGTAAAGACAGCTAATATTTCACTGTTACAGGCACAGACAGGCACAGAGCTGTAGGGAAGATTTTAGTTTGTAGTAGGAAGGACATCCATACTAACTTACAACTTAAAAGAGGAAAAAGCATAAAGTGTAAAAAGTAAAGAGTAAATATATTTTCCTTCTTTAAATTTGAATTTCAGTTTAAACTGTTCCTGTTAGAGCTTCAAGATTAACATCGAAATTGCTATTTGAAAGGATACAATTCTCAAATCGCAAAAGCTGCAATTTTGAAAGTACCATAATTTCCTCCACAAACAACAAATTATCTTGTTTAATTCTGCATAAAATCTGTTTAGATCTGTTCTGAAATGTGATTCTTATTATATCCTAAGTCCCTATATTACACAAAACTGATTCTTGTGAGCTTTGAGCCATGTTATAATGTTACCTCATCAAAAACAGACCTGGAGTTGTGTTCTGTTTTATTCACATATGTTTGAGTAATCCTTTATTATTAGTCTGTCTACATCCCCAAAGCTCAGAATGCTCTGTTCCATCTTGTGATGTCATATAGTGGTAGTTTTCAAGTTAACAGCTACCTTTTACCTTTAGTTTAGAAGAGGTTGGAAATTCCAGGCATGTTTGTGATGAGGAAACAACATTATACCATATCAAAAA